GGCCATAAAATGCCTTTATCATACAGACAACCCAAGAGAAAACTTCAGCTCACCAAATTGAATAAACAAACCTTTGGGAAAACAGCTTATTTCATAACGACAGCTCCAGTATATGGAATTCCCCTCATAGTTTAGTCCAGTTAATTACTATTTAGCTAAACAAAACCACAATTGCCACTTCCAACTACAAATCCATATGGAAATCTGTCCCATCTCTTGAATCAGCTTTATTATCAATGATTTGACCCAACTGGCTCTATTTATGGAATTAGAGTATTCCTTCTAGAACTGTGAGGGTGTCCAGAGGAGATAAACAGCTGACTTGTGTGCCTTGCTGATGAGTACTTCTCAAAATCAACAAATATTCTCATTTGAGACAAGAGCATAAAAAGGAGCTTCATGAATCAGAAATGGACCTTGAACTTTCTATTTACAATAACACAGCATGCAGTTTTCACACACAAGCTCTGGCCTTTTTCGCCAAAACTTGCTTTCAGCTCTTAATTCAGTCCAGTATATTATGATTTTACCCACTCAGTGTCCAAGTAGGCTTCTCGGCGAGGACACGGAAGGAAACCCACTCGCTGCACTTGGAGCCTGCACGTTTACCTCATCAGCAGAACCAGCAGCGAGGCTAGATGCCGCTGAAGAAAGGCAGACGGATACGGGATGTAAACTGCTCTTTCCTCCACTCTCCCCCCAGCGCCCCACCCCTGGAAGTTCCGCGGTTGGAAATTATCCTAACATTTTTTATCCTAACATTTTTTTTTAGCCAGGATGTACTAAAATTAGATGGGAACAAAAGCCTGACATCTCCGTGTTAGAGGAGGCTGGCAGCGCCCACTCTCGCCCACATTCGGCTCTAGACTCTTCTTCCCTCCATGAAGCTGAAGGAAGCAGAGCCAGGGAGCTGCCACCTCCCAGCAGCTCCACTCCGCTACCGCCGATGATGAACTGCCTGCCAGCCGAGGTATGCTAATGAGGAGTGATGCCTACAGTCCCGGGCCCCCTGATTCGAGCACAGCATTTCATATTTCTTTCTTGGCTCCTCAGATAACATCCAGGATATGCTAATTGCTGGTACATGTGTAAATTTTTAGGTATTTGGCAAAACCAACATGTTAGATTCGCTTTCCTTAAAAAGCTTCTTGAGAGCCTGCACAGTGAAGCTCACTCAATCACATCATCTCCTGACGCACAGAAAACAATACATATTTTAAAATACAACACAGAAGAATTCACCATTTCTTCCAGATGGGCCACTTAAAACAAAACCGTAGGTTTTGTTTTTTTTATGTCTTCCTCTCATAAACTAGGCCAGTCATTTGCAAATACTTTAAGGCACAATTGATCCCCAGGTTGTAAGTCTTCCTCACAATAGTATCAGCATGACAAAAGTACATTCTGCCAGTCTCTACATCCCAGTTTTTGAAGTTCTACTCTATAAAAGCAGGATATTGACACATTCATGTCTCGGGAATTATTCCTATCTTTTAAAGTTGGTTTCCCTTGGTCTAAACCACCAGGTCCACATCGTGACAGCTCAAAATTCTGTTAGAGAAGCCCTTTTAATGATTAATCTAATGCTCTGTGTTGTAAAGATTTTTAGAACTCAGTAAGTACCGGCTCAAGCTCTCTTTTTTTCCTGGTTACTGGAGCCCATCTTGACATCTAAGCTGGAAATGAATGATCTTTCAACAACACTCCAGGGATTTTGCTAAGGTCATATTCAATCATTCATTAGGCTTCTTACCCCTCGCTTTTCAGAGCCCATTGTAGAGCTGGTTTTATTCAGCATTTATGTAGCCTGTGGGCTTGGGTATTTGTCTGCTTAATGTTGAGTTTCATTTCTATGCCCCTAACATAGGAATTCATCAATTGACCAAAGAATTTCAAACTATTCTTTTCCCTTTCTAACAAATTGCATGGTGTGTATGAAGAATAAATTAGCATTAATTTTCTTCCATTAACTGTTAATAAAACATGCTCATGTGCTTCCCCTTCTTCGAAGAACATCTCTGTTTCCTGCCTGCCTGAAAAACTGATAAAGGTTTCCTAATTTTTTCCCACTAGGGAACAGTCCTTCAGTCTAGCTTTCTCGTCTCCCACAGTTGAACTCTAGGTCATGGGCAGCCTTCTTCAAGTGAAGTGTATTAGACAAGAGTCCTTCCAGAGCCCATCAGCACCCCCCCCCCCCCACACACACACACAATTAGCTAAAGAGGTTACTACAGTGGGACATAAGACACTTGGACTCTTGCTCTCCAAGCAGAAAGCTGTCCCTGGAGCACACACTGCAGCCCACGGAGCCAAAAGCCGGAAATCAAACCCAGGTCTCTCCACAGCAGCAGAACACTGGCCTGGACATCAACCGAGTTTTCACATTTCACATTTCTCACACATTGTAGGCTAACACACACACACACACACACATCTGAGAACATAAATCAAAGTCCACTAACATAGGTAGGGGTACTCTATTTCCCTGCATATCAACTGAAGCAAAAAAGTATCTCCAAGGCATATAGAACTTAATTACTAATGATGATTCCTTCAAAATTAAGGTTTCTATTCTACTCTGGATGAACGTGAATTTGGGCCAACATATACAGTACTGCATTATAGTATCCTAGATATCTTAAAATAAATGAAACAGTATTCACACAAAGACTAAGAATCTTTTGTATACGTTCACTTCCCTCCCCCCACCCCCAAATAAATAGAAAATTGCATGCATATGACCGATGAAGAAGAAAGACAAGCTCACTGCTACCACAATAGGAAAAAATGATTCAAGGACAGTTTGTACTTTTTTTAAATGGCTTCAGTCAAGCTGCCAAGGGTAGTGTCAGGTTTGATTCTCATATGCATAAGTGCCAGGCCCCAAAAGCAACTCCAACTTTTGCACCTGGCTTAAAACAAAATGTTCTAAAACTTTCTATTTGTTAATTGGTGTAACCAGCCCATTCAGGCCTCAAATCCCTTTGGACTTGCACACGCACTTCCTACACACAGAAGTGGCCTGTTATGCAGAAATAACATCATAATGAAAAGCAACAATTCTGTGCAGGCTCCACAGAGAAATCTCGTTTGCATTTCAAACAAGTTTCCTCAACATAAGAGTGTCTTTTGATGAAATAAAACTACAATTCCAACTTCTTATCCAGAGAACACAGCATTCACAACGTAACTTACTGCTCCCTTTTATAAATGCATTATTTCTTTCAGCTACCCACACATTCATATGATTTAACAAAACTAACTTTAATAATGTATTTATGGCTTTTTCAGCAATGTGGGAAATGACTAGCCTGTCTTTTACAGTGTGGTATTGTTTGAAAATACTAATTTATTGTTTGCATTTTGGGAGCCTTCATTTGTTTTGATTTCAGCCTCTGAGAGGCTTTTCCTGCAGGATTAAAGTGATATGAAGAGGTGATAACTCCCTTTTCCTAATGTCACCACTGACGCTATGATTCCCCTCGAAATCCTCATCTTTGTAAGCGGAACAAACATACCCAAAGGAGCAGTCCCAGCTCGCAGTGATCCAAGCCCAATATCTCAGCTTGGTCATACAGAAAGTCAATTTTGTTAGACAGGTGTTCTCAAATAGCATATACTTAACTCAAAACTCTAAGAGAGTACATATTACTATATTTGAAATAAAAGAAAATGTGGGGAAAAAAGCAAACACCAAATTTCCTCAACAAATCAAACTACGTGTTCTTAGGATTTAAGATCCCATGTCTAGTTTATAAAACAGCACATTTTTAAAATTGTAAAGCATATATATTTTGCAGTCATTTCTCATTATTTACATCTTAAAAATTAAGCTTTTGAGAAAATCATATTGAAAGTTATGTAAATGTCTTCAGTTATCTCCTGCAAGGAAAGCAGTGATCTTAACAACTGATTAATGGTGATATAAATCAAACCACCCTCACCCCTATTCCTGGACAAGAAAACAATGCAATGTTGGATTAACTCATTTCTAGAGTAAGACTTGCCAAAAAAACACAAATTCTGGTATTTTTTTAACCCATCAGGCCCAAAAAACTGAAAACTATAAAAATCATATCATTTTTTTTAAAAAAGCTCTTATTCTGACTCCAATATTAAAACATCAGTCCAAATACAAAATAGCATTCAATGGTAATATACCTGATCTTTTCAAAAATGTTAATAAACCGTTTCTCTTGCTAACTGGTCCCTAACTTGACCATCTTTGCCCCACATCCCTGAGGACATATATACACATAACTTACAACACCCTTTCACAGAATGACACAACCCAGTTCTTGATTAGGCAAGGCTTTTAAGACAAGTAGAGAGATGGTGAAAAGTCACAAAGGATGACTCACTCTTCACACAGTCCACAAATCAACACTGTCACTAACAAAAGAGCTTCAGAGCTCCTAAAAATAACCGCCCGGCCTCCCTCACAGCACTTCTCCGGACCAGCCCTAGTCCCTCAAAGAGAGCTGTAAGTAGCACCTGGGAGGCAGGCAAGCCAGGGGAAGGGCTTCAGATGGTTTTTAGTTCAGACCAGAGAATTATCCTGGCTCCATCCCATACAAGCTGTGCAGACACAAGACTAATACATACCTCAAGATGACACACTGGGAGGATTCCATGACTTAATCAGATAAAACAACATAATGCAGTTGTAGTACATCTCAGTATCTCTTAGTTCTCTTCCATTTCCTATCCACCCAGTCTTGTTTAATCATATACATGAAGACCAAGGGATTTTCTCAGGTATTAAGTCTTTCCCTTAAATAGCCATGCTTCAAACCAAAATATTCTTATTATGGTTCATAAATAATCTAATAAAACACACTAAGAAAGCATTTAGCTTATTATTCTGACCCTGGAATAATCTGGCCTGATCTTTATCAATAACTATCTTCAATTAAATTCTACCAAGGCACCGAAGTAAAGACTAGATGCTTTCTGCAAATTCATTTACTGCTTTAAAGTTTTAACTGTTCAGCAGTTACAGGAAATTTTTTTAAACAAAAAGAAAAATATTTACATTTCAAAAACAAAAGAAAATGTTTAATTCTTCTTGGTTGAGCTCTAAAACCCAACCACTCACAAGTCCACAATTTTTAACCGGCCCATTCTATCTGTTCACCGTGTACATCCTGTGTACTTACTAAGCATTTATTTGCACTGGCATTTTCTGTAACACGTCGACTTTGATGTAGACTTTCTTAAAAAAGCTAACTGAATTTGCCCAGTGAAGTCTCACATTTTTTGGAAAACCAATGCGGCTACACTGTTTCCAGATCGGCCTCCAAAGCTGAAAGTAGGTGTTGGCAGTTCTTCGAAAAGTTCAAAGCCTGTGAGACAAAATTAAGATACTTTGATTGGGTTAGGTACTGAAACCCACAGGTAAGGAAATCCAGGTTGTCACTATACTTCCAAACCCTTTATATAAAACGAGACTCCAAGCTCAAACTCCAAGCTCAAAGTTTCATGAAACTTAGTTTGTCAAGTCTACATTTGTCTAGCCCTATAGACAACCCAAGCACTTTAAATTGACCAAGGACCAGACTAGGCCACAAGCACATTGCAGGGTAGAAGCTTTCCATCCCTCTCCACCTTCTGATGAGCTTCCTGTTCGTCATCCTTCCTCAGCGACCCCTAAGCCTATGCCACCACCTAGTCTGGAGCAGCAGCAAGACTGTGCTGGCCTCTTACCCAGTTCCAGTGTTGTGTGAACGCTTTATGTGCAGCAGCCCCACCCACATCACACCTCACATATAAAAGCACTTAATACAGAGGTTAAATAACATGAAAATAAACACAGATTCATAGATGGAAACTTCTGGAGATGGAGGGCGATGATGGTTGCACCAGGTATGCTCAGGGACACTGCACTGCACACTTAGAAATGGCCCAACGGTAAATTACTCGTCAGATAAGGTTATATACTTTATGTATTTATCTATTTATATTTATTATATATTTATCATGATATTTAAAAAGAGTTTTTAAGAAAAATAAAGACCCAAGCGAACTAATGAAAGGTCTGGGAAAGCAAGAAACTAGTAACTTTTAAAGCAGCCAGTGTGGTTTAAGGGGAAAAAAAAAAATGACACAACATGTTTTGATAAATAAGGCTATAAAGGAAAAATCCAGATCCATTGCAAGTTTTGTGAACCTTTATGTTTTAAATAAGGAAAGAAGCAAAGAACCTTAGGCTGGTGGAGCGAGCTTTATTCTATGCAAAAGGCACGATGGAAGCCAAACGAGCAGCCAGCGACAGGGCCTCGCAGCGGGGCGTGGCGGTGGTGTTCCGCTAGTGTCCTGGACTTAATTCCAAACACCAGCTCCAGAAAAACGCATGCCTAAGTAAGGTCTTCAATTATGTATAATTATTTCTTTAACATTTCCTGTTGTAATATTTCACTTGTTTAAATTCTGCATTAAGTTCTAAAATGGAACATAAATTAAAGACTTTACTCAGTAGTTCTCAGACACAGACCCATTTCTAAGCACTCTTTAGCAGGCTAAAGTCTGTTCCTCATTATCACGGACAGACAAATATGGTTTTGTCTGGTGGTTCAAGGAGTAAAAGAGAACACCTGTATTTAAAAGGCAGGAAAGGAACTTGCCCTACACAATGTAAGTTTGAGCATTTATTAAAACTGTCAAGCTTCAGGAAGAGGGAAAGACTATTGATATGGGGCCTCTGACAGTTTTAAAGGAAACCAATTTAACATGGAAGATAATAAAATTAATGGCATGAAATAAAAGGCAATAAATCACACAGAATTCTTGTTTTCCAGAGTAACAGTAATGAAGCCACAAGCTCAAATTTCAAGCCTCAAACGCTTGAGAGTTTCCATCACACAGCCTGTCAGTCACCAAAAGCACACAAGAGGACATGTGTGAGGGGTCTTCCCTCCTACTGCCTTCCCCTTATTACCAAAAGGAAAACAGACTTGAGATGAAGTGGCTACACTGTGGTTATATAGTCATTGCTTATTAGGTTGTGACAACTGAGGATCTAAATTTATCCACAAATTAAGTGCTGTATCATTTATGATTATTCTATGCTCAAACTTTTTCCCACTCCTTTAAAAAATGTAATACTAGGGGGCCTCCCCGGTGGTACAGGGGTTGAGCGCAGGGTTGCTAAGCTGCCTGCAGCCTCTGCAGCGCCAGTTCAATCTCCAGCCACTGGGTGAGGGTCCCACATGGCGCACAGATCTCTCTGCTGCCCGCTGCTCCCCTCAGCAGTGTACTTCGTCAGTCTGCCTGCTCTGCTCTCCGCTCTGACTCTGGTGAATTCTCTCACTCTCCCGCGCTTCTGACTATACCCAGTGCTTGTATAAATAAATAAATAAATCTTAAAAAAAAAATGTAATACTAGGGCCTTCCCATTGGCATAAGGGGTTAAGTCTCAGCACCATGCAGCTATCCACAGCCACTACAGCATGAGTTCGATCCCAGCCAGGGAGCTGACCCATATGGTGCAGCAGACCTCTCCTGTCTCCCCGCTGCTCCCCTCAGCAGTGTATTTCAGTAGATCTGCCTGATCTGCTCCCCACTCTATCTCTGGTGAATCCTCTCACCACCACCACCCCACCCCCACACCTCTGGCCTATACTCCAGTTCTTATATGCATAAATAAATAAAAGTAAATCTTCAAAAAAATGTAATACTAATTAAAAAAGGATTCTAAGGAAAAATAAGCAAATATCTGGTAGTAGATTCTCAAGGTACCTTCTCAGAAATGCCAGTGTACTGCAAGAATAAAGGGCAGGTAAGAAACTCTTCAAAACCTGCAAGGGACAGTCTACAGAAGAACTTAAGATACTTATGTACAGATTACAGATCCTCAATCCTGACAGGATCCCCATTCAGTCCACAGAGCACTAATACTACTTTGCTAGTGGGGCAAAAATGGATTCTAGGGCCTCCCTGGTGACGCAATGGGTTAAGCACAGCACTGTGGAGCTGTCCACAGTCTCTGCAGCATGAGCTCAATCCCTGGCCGGCCAGGGAGGTACCCACATGGCGCCGCAGAACTCTCCTGTCTCACCTGCTGCTCCCCTCAGCAGTGTATTTTAGTCTGCCTGTTCTGTTCCCCGCTCTGTCTCTGGTGAATCCTCTCACCCCCCACACCTCTGGCCTCACCCCAGTTCCTGTATGCATAAATAAATAAATCTTTAAAAAAAAAAAAAAAGGGATTCTGTCTTGGTACCAAAACCTTGAAAAACACAGAGATTTCCTCAAGAATTAACGGGCAGTATTTCTACTATGAGACCCTACCCTGTTTTCTGTGCCATGTTCAAAACAGTTGTTCTAGAGGCACTGAAAACAAGAAGACAAATCCTAAATATCTAAATGTCTACTAGGCAAGACATACAACAAATCCATCACATCATGAAAGACTTTACAAAGTAATACTTCCGTTTACAATCCTGCTTACTCTTCTGATTCCCAGTAAATTCTGTGCACTGAAGTCTGAAGCATAATATATGTGCTTGCTTCATTTGGTTTTCTAAATAATAGACTATGTGGCTTAAATAAAGAACCTAATTTTTACAGGCTCATAAATTTTAGTACTTAACTCCCAAGAATTCTTGGAAAATTTTGAAAAGGGCTCTGAATCTCAATCAATGTTATTTCTTTGTTCTTTGCATATACTGTTGAAAGTATTACCAAGGTCATTAACAGAGAAGAAAAGCAAGCAATTCCCACAAATAGAAAAGGTAAAAACACTCAAATACCAAGGGAAAAAAGCCTACTTAAATACATTAAGCCTGAGATAAGCACACATTTAAACAAAATATAGCTATTTACCTTCACTGAATTCATTTAGCAACTCTTCCTTGGTCCAATTACATGACGTTATTAGAAAAAAGCCTTTCACTTTCAACACCCTGGAGAGAGATTTCACATATTGCTTCCTCTTCTCGATTGCATTGTCAGGATTAAGGCTTATGGCATCAAAAGTCCCTTTGTCAATACAAATATGAAATCCAGACAGGTTGGCAGAAAGATTCAAAAAGTCTTCTACCTATATTAAAAATCAATGTCTATGTAAGAACAATTAACACACAATCCTTACTGAATTTAAGTGATGATAATCTGTAAAATGTTATAGATAAAAGAGTCCATTATTATGATAGTATTCTACATATAATAAACATATTTCCAACTTTACAGCAAACCTTTAAGTGCTTCATTCCAAGATCATTAAAGCTAGGATTAGTTAGAGAAACTGACAGTGTTTCCTACACATTTCAAATCTCAACAAATTTAGAAACAAATCAAAGCCAGGTGTACTGCTTAATAATAAAGCACATAACAGAACTCACAAACCTCGTTTATGAAAAAGCATTTATTTTGACATTTTTTAAAATGACCTAGAACTCAAACAAGTCATGGGAAATAAGAGGATTTTTATTGCTGCTACTAGTTGTGTGACCTAAAGTAAACAACAAACCAAAAGTTCTTTGCCTTGACTCAGCAACTCACAAATATATTAAATGGCATAAAGTTTAAGAAACTAAATGACTGCTTTGAAAGGCAATATTTCTAACTTTCTCAATATCACGCACTTTAGATTTTGAAAGGTATACGTTAATATCATTCATTTTCAATAAGTTACTGATACATTATAAGCATGTGAAACAGTGATCTGCCTCAGTTTCACAAAATATCCAAAATATGGGCCTCCCACAATAATTTACCAATGGACTTAATTCTGAAAAGCTACTTTGAAACAGTAACTAAGTAATTAGCTCATAATTATTTACATTAAGTAAATAATCAAGTAATCATAAATGGGTTATTATCTAAAATTAACCTGTTTGACTTAAAGTTGTGAATTTTATGTTTATTTGCATTTGAAGGTGGGTCTCCCCCACACCCCCATTATACCTGCAGCAAAACAGTGACTATACTCTTAAGAGCTAAATTTAGAGAAGATCCTATCCTAAATGCCTGTATGAAAGTACTTAATTATTCAAGGGATACACATTACATGCAGGAACTTGACAGGCCCTGGGACTATAACAGTAAGCAAAACAGAAATGAGAACATAACTTATATTTTCTACAGGGAGAAACAAACAATAAACATGTTAACCACTCAATTTCAGATAAAGTGCTAGGAAGAAAATAAAATCAGAATAAGGAAGGCAGTGAAGGACTAGGAAGAGAAATGTTCTGGAAAAAGCCATCCAGCCAGGCAGGAAAGGTCTGCCTAAGGTAATATTTGAGAAGCGATCTAAATGATGAGAGTGAATCCCTTAAGCCAATAATATGGGGCAAGAATATGGTAGACAGAGAGCAATAGATATGAAGACTGGAGAAGAACAGGTTTGACACATTTTACAAAAAAAGATGGCAGGACTGAAGTTCTGGTGATAAGAGGGAAAGTGGTAAGAAGTAAGGGGCTTTGCATTCACAGTAACCTGGATAAAGCTAGAACGAATTATGCTCAGTGAAATAAGCCAGAAGGAAAACTAAAAATATAGGATGGTTTCACTTATAGGAGGAATCTAGGGGAGCCATATAAGACATCAGTGTAAAAAAAATAATAACAGCACAAAACACAACAAAGCAAAAACACACAATTTATAAATCAGAGACATCCTGCAGGGGAGGAAGAGGGAGAGGGGTCAGAGGGAGGGAGGAGCACAGGGGACTGAGGTCATGGTGCACAGGTGCCTTGGGGAAGGAAACTCTATGGGGACTACACCTCAGGGGGTGGGGGTAAGCAAATATTGTTTAAAAATGAACAATGATGTAAAAAATTAAAAAATTAATTACTGAAAAAAAGGGAAAAAATAAATAAAAAAAAAGAAGTAAGGGGCTTAGAGGCATGGGGGTGTTCAGATGCCATTCTGCAATGGGGAAGAAGATTGTGGCAAGGAAGGAAATGAATTGATTTACATCTTAAAAGATCACTCTTGCTGGCCTGTCATCATCGACAGCAGGGTGGCAAGAGTGGAAATGGGGAGGGAGATCAAGAAGCCACTCGGCCAGCCAGCCAGAAAGATGGTGGCTTGGACTCGGTGGGCAGATGTAAAGGTATCAAGGGACACATTCCTGATACACTCTGAAGACAAAAGTAACAGAACTGGATGTCACATTAAAGGAGAGAGAAGGCCCAGGGGTGGCTCCTTGGGTTCTGGGTTGTGCAGCCATTGGGTCATTCACAAGTGGTAAAATGAACAGAGATGAAAAGAGTGGGCAAAACACGCAAGAGTTTCACTTTGGGCTAACAAGAGCTGACTGGCTCCCCAAGTGGAACCAAAGAATATGCGATTTTTATGATTCTAGGGCTCAGTGGGGAAGCCTGGGTTAGAAACACAAATGGCAAGAGGAATCGTCTCCTCATAGGACACAAAATTAATCTTTGGTGAAATGCTACCACATCATGGATTTACAGTCTTTTGATACAGTTAATTCAAAGTTGGCTGCTATTTGTGCAGAGAAACACCTGCACACGAGAAGAGCAAACCACTTCCCCAAAGGGACTAGACTGCAATTTTTAAGAGTTATTTTTAAATGTTTCAACTTGGATTATTTATAGTTGAGTTCAAAAGATGTCAGAAAATATACTTTAAAAACATTTAAACTTTGTAACTTTTACTATAAAACAAATTATAGTACTATAAATAAGTTACCTTCAACTTAATGTTAGAGAAACCTTCTTTCTCTATAATATTTCCAGAAAGCTGTATTGCAGAAGGAGAGTAATCGATTCCAGTAATATTAGAAAAACCAAATTTTGCCTAGAGACAGAGAAATAATTTTATATTTTAGCTTTAAGAAGTTTTAATATAATATTTTGCCTCTGCAGTATAATATTTCTTTAGGACTAGGACTGTTTTACTTTTTAATTGATGGAGTTATATATTCTGCCCAATAAACTACAATGTTTAAATTTTATTATAAAACCTAAATAAAAACTAAATGTTTAACTATACAATGTCACAACTCATTTGCTTTTAGATTTGACTTCTTTTTCAAAAGGAAGCTCATTTTCTCAAGGTAAATGAGAATATATGCACAACATTTCTGCCCTCAAGCAGAAACATGTAACATTACATTCAACTTCCAATGTTGACTCACAGATAAGTCTGTCATAAATTTTACTTAACACAATAATGTTATATAAATAAATTAAATGCATAAGTAGTAAGTTCTTCATTTTAAAATATCCCTTTAGTGTCATGATAAACTATGGAATTCTCCACCAGCCAGCCAGTGATTATTAACCACCTTACATTTGTACAGTATTTTTTATATTTTTTATTTTTCATTTTAATATATTTCATACATTCAAACAGATCTGTACAAAAAAATGGTGAGGTAGGTTGGGCAGGTTAAATTAATATCCCCAAAGAATCAAAAAAGAAAAGCTCACTGATCTTAAGAGTTCTAAGACAAAAGCTCCAAACCCTGCTGTTTACTAGTCAAACAGACCAATGGAGGGCATTGCGGGGTCTGCGGCAATTGCATGATGGAATCTGGTCCTTGCTCCCAAACCATAACTATGCTGGACACTTTTAGACTCATCAAGCTAACGGTAACTTCAAAGGAAATCTGAAGAAAGCAAAGTTCAGTGTAGTCTGAACTTCCCTTCCTGCTCTTCATTTACTAAATGGGTATTTGCAACAAAACTAAACATGTTCCCATACCATCCACTAATGGTTACCATCCACTAACCTGTTCCCATACCATCACACTCAATTTCTGGCACTAATCTCAGTGAAAAATAAGCATTCAAAGAAATGATAAATGACCAAAAACCAAAGGGTATAAACTTTAGATAAAGGTTCACAGGAGGCCAAATAGTGTGTGTGTGTGTGTGTGTGTGTGTGTGTGTGTGTGAGAGAGAGAGAGAGAGAGAGAGAGAGAGAGAGAGAGAAGGAAAGAGTAAGAGAAAGAAAGAGCTAGAAGAAAGGTCCAAAGAAAATATCCCCGGTTAAGCAAAGAATGATAAAAGGATGAACAATTAAAAACAGGAAAAGAGAAAATGTAGCACAGAAATGAGTATTAGTATTAGATATTAGTTGACATCTAACATATATAATAGGATGAAGAGGAAATGAAAATAGAGCAGATGAGAAAATGGCCTATGGATAAGAATTTTCTAAGACCCAAAAAGGAACCAAACCACAGATTCAAGAAGTACTATAAACCTCAGGCATGATTACATCAGAGAAAACCACAAAGTATAATATATCTGATAAAAACCATAAAGAGAAAAATCTTAAAAGCATCAATCAAGGGCATGTGTGTTTCTGGGGGAACAAGAGGACAAATAACCTTCAAAAGACCTAAAATAAGACTGAAGCTGCCAATAAGTCATAAATGAAGACCAAAAGACAATGAAAAAAAATGCCAATCTAAATTATATACCCAGTCAAAAAAGTATAAAAATTTATCAAAAATAAAGTTGATCTTTGAAAAAAGTACTGAATATAAACAATGGCTGTTAACATCACAAAAATACATTACATACCACATAGACAAATACGTGTTAGGTGTTTAAAAAAATTAATTTGAAAAAAAATGAAAGGTCAGATAAAAATCAGAGGTAGGCAAAAAAAAAAAAAAAAGAAATTTGAAGTAACAACAAGTACAATTCAGTAATACATAAATAGAATTATTCTGTGATCCTGTTATTCCAGAAATGGAATGCAATGCTGGTTCAATATCTGAAAATTAACCAATATAGTGACCATATTCACTATCTAAAGAAAAACCTCATGATTATATTCATGAGAAAAATATACATAACAAGTAACATATACATCATTCAGATCATTTCTGGTATTCAATACCTATATTAAAATATACAAAATCCCTTTTTTTCTTTTTTTACAAAAGTCAACATTCAATGTAGAAAAAGAGAAGGGAAATGGGCATCTAAAAAATCCTACAACCTCAAACTTAGTGGTAAAAAACTGAAGACTGGGCCTCCCTTGGTGACACAGGCAGTTGAGCACAGCGCTGCGAAGCTGTCCGCAGCCTCTGCAGTGCCGGTTCGATCCCCGCCGGCCACAGAGATATCCACATGGTGTGGCAGACCTCTCCTGTCTAGCCCGCTGTTCCTCTCAGCAGTGTATTTTAGTCAGTCTGCCTGTTCTGTTCCCTGCTCTGTCTCTGGGGAATCGTCTCACCACCACCCCGCCCCCTGCATCTCTGGCCTGTGCCCCAGCTCTTGTATGCACAAATAAATCTTAAAAAAAAAAAAAAAAAAAAAAAGCTAAGGAAGTCCTAAATAAATGAAGGAAACATATCACATTCATGGATTGGAAAGCCATTCTCTTCAAATGACAGATTTAGTGCAATTCCAATAAAATGCTCAGCATAAATCCAACTGTAGATATATAAAATGATTTTAATATTCAGAAAAGCAAAGAAACTAGAATAGCTAAAACAACACTTGACATAGAAGACTAAAGTCAGAATAATGATACTATCCAACTTCAAGATTTACTAAAAAGCTACTTTACTCAAGACAGCATGATATTGGGAAAGGGATAGACACAGACACCACTGAAACAGCACTATATATAGATCCACACAAATAAGGAGAACTGATTTTTGACAAAAGTGAAAAGACAATTCAATCAAGGATAGTCTTTTCAACAAATGATATCGAAACAAATGGATATCTATATGCAACCAAAAAAACCCTCAACCCAAACCTTATCTTACACAAAAATTAATTCAAAAAGGATCATAAATTCAAATGCTAAAAAAAACTATAAAATTTTCTGTAGATAAAAAAGGATTAGGGGAAGAGTTATTAGATATGACATCAAAATCACAATACATAAAAGAACTCGATAAACTGAATTTCATAGAAATCATTAACCTATAATCTAAATTCTTACTTTTGGCCTGAAAATGAAGAACGAAAAAGAAATGAAAAAGACAAGTTACAGACTGAGAGAAAACATCTGCAATCACTTATCAAAGAAAAAATCTGTATAAGAAATATATAAAGAACTCTCCAAATTCAACAGTAAGAGAACAAAACAGTCAATTAAAAAAATGAGTAAAAGACTTGAACAGAAATTTGACCAATGAAGATACGCACAGCATATAAGACAATCACCATAATAAGCCACTAAAGAAATAGTTTAAAACCACGATGTCTAGATGCCACTATGGTCTATTTCAGAAAGGCTAAAATGGGAAAATATTGACAATTCCAAGTGCAGCAAAGATACAGAACAAGTGGAACCATCATATATTGCTCATGTATGTAAAATGCAAATCCAAAATGGTACAACCAATCAGGAAAATGGCTTGGCAGTTTCTAGTAAATGTAAACACCTATTTATAGTGGATGTTAAACATCTATTCACATAAATATATGTAAATAAATGTTTACAGCAGCTTTATTCATAACTGCCAATAACTGGTAATAACCCAAATGTCCTTCAACAAGAAAATGGACAGTGATCTATCCCTACAACAGAATGCTGCTTAGCAACAAAAGGGAATTACTAGCGATATACTCAAAATGTGGATGAATCTCAAAAGCATTACGCTGAGCGAACAGTGCACTCTCAAAAAGTTATTATATACTGCATTATTCCATTCTCAAGGACATTCTCAAAAACACAAAACCAGCGACAGAGAACACATCAGTGACCACTAAGAGAAAGGGTGTTGCTCCATAGGATAGTACGCAAGTTTTCTGGCTGGATCTATTCTGCATTCAGATTGTGATGTGATTGCATTAATCTCTACATGTGTTAAGATTCATAAACCTAGATGCAAAAAAGTTATTTTTACAATATGGTGATTTTTTAAGTTTAACAGGAAGTTATAAACAACTTCCTGCCAATAAAATGTGAAATTTAGGTAGCTGAATAAATTTGTTGAAAAACACAAAACTGACTCAAACCCTAAAAAAAAAAAAAAAAACCTGGACCCAGAGCATGTCCCCGTGAATCCTTCCAAACATTTAATAAGAAACAAAGGCAATCTACCCAAATTCTCCCAAAGAATAAAGAGACACTTCCCCCAAAGAAGAAATAGGAGACACCAGCATAACCTTGATACAAAAACCTTACATGAAAATTCCTAGTAAAGGAAATTACTGGCTAATCGCTTTTTTTTTTCTTTTTCTTTTTTTTCTTTCTTTTTTCTTTTTTTAAAAAAGATTTATTTATTTATTTATTTATACAAGCGCTAGGTTACAGTCAGAAGCGCGGGAGGGTGACAGAATTCACCAGAGCCAGACAGAACAGGCAGAGTGACGAAATACACTGCTGAGGGGAGCAGCGGGCGGCAGGAGAGGTCTGCGCACCATGTGGGCCCCTCCTCTGGTGGCCGGGGAGCATCTGGGCATCGAACCGGAGCTGCTGAGGCTGCGGGCAGCTTCGCAGCCCAGCGCTCAACTGCTGCGCCACCAGGGGAGGCCCTAATCTCTCTCTTGTCACTATACAAATTCGAAGTAAAATACTGCCAAGTCAAATCCAATACATGGAAAATGTGGATGAATCACCACACTCCAGCTTGATTTACCTCAGGGAGGGTAATTCGTTTTAACACTGAATAATCACGGAAATGATCTCAACATGTCAATTAAATGACATTTACGTCAACTGAGGACCTCTTCGAATAAAAGTAAATCAATTTAACATTAATAGACTCAAGAGGAAAAATCATCTCAAAGGAGATCAGAGAGCAACTGATCAAATTCAACGCGCATCCATGAGTAAAAAACTCAACAACTAGGAATACAAGAGATGTTCTCAATCTGACTAGCTATAAATTTCTACAACTAACGTGTTTAAGGTCAAGGCTATAGCCAAAGGGCTAAGACGAGGACTCAGATCCTGGCTTCTCTCTCAGTTCTTTCTCACAATACATGTGGTCTCCCTTTGCCCCATGTGCCCTCTCCCAGTAAACGGCATGATGGCTTTAACACTTTAGATTTAGAAGGTTATTATCCTTGACTGCAAGATTTTTAAAATTTGACTTTAAAACTTGGCCTTAACACACGAATACTAAAAGTACCAACAAGTTCAACCAGGAAAACACCGTTTCCAGTTCCAATATCAAGCACAGATGCATCCAGTGGAATCTTCTGTTTTTGCATCCACCTTATCAGTCGACTCATGCTCTCTTCTCCAAACCTATTAGAAACAGAATCAATTAATCAAATAACAAAGCTATAAGCAAAGATTACAAAGATATTCCATTTAAGCAGATTATTCAATATTCTCAATTAAGTTTTCATGAAAATAAGAATTACCTGTGACTGTTTAAGCTTCATCTCTACTGTTATTTAAGAGAAAACACTCCCCCACCCCAAAATAGAACAGAAAAAGTAAGATCTGTTACTTATTGTTTCTGTACAGTAGTATTAATACTTGTACATGGTGGTGGGCTCCAAGTTTTGTTATTTACTGAAAAGAACAATGACAGCATGAAAGCAACTTCCTAATAGTCTGGTCAGTGTTAAATGGGGGCCATTAAGTGAAAGACGAGGGAAGGACACTTTAAATCTGCCCATCAGGGCTCAAATCAGCCCGAGGTTCTCAAGGCTTTCGGGCCCTCTTTGGGACAAGTACTTGAAACACACGCAGCCTCTGGATCATAATTCCACTATTGTCCTCTAACTCACCAGATTTCCCCTGCATCTCCGTATTCTTGGAAAGTCTGCAGCTCTCTCTCATAGACAGCATCCCAGCTACGTAAACAATCGGTTGCAAAGCAAGATGTTGAATTAAATAGTGTTATGAATTAAATGTTTCTAATATATTAGTGGTATTTACGACGCAAGCGTAAATAAAACACTGCTAGTGTCACAGGCCACAGAGCTCAATCTCTTAACATCCCTGTGTCAGGAGAAAGGCCAGGACAAGGAGAGTAAGTTTACACAAGTAAAAATCACTGAAAACTATACCCAACGCATAAAAATACTATATTTTAGCTCAGCAAAATAGAAGTAAGTCTGTGTCCCGGGATCCCTGCGTCCCGCACCGGCGTCGCGTCTCTCCAGCACCAGGAGACACGGCTGTCCCGGGCCGCCGGCCACGCGCAGGGACTGGCCGAGACGGCGCGGGCCGCGCCCCGAGTTCGAGCCCCGCTCTCACCCTCCCAGGGGCCGCCGCGGTTCCGCAGCATCCCGGCCGCGCTCACCCCGCCAGGTCCCGCAGTCACGCCCACGCCCCGGCTCACCCCAGAACCCCGGCTTCGGCTCCAGGCGGCACCGCCGTCTCCCGGCCAAGGCGCCCCCGGCCCCCGCGCGCCTCTCAGGCCGCCCCCAACGCCCGCCGCCCACCCGCACCCCAGGCGCCCCCCACCTCCCCGGGGCCCCCGCGCGCCCCCAGGCGCCCCCACCTCCCCGGGACCCCAGCCGCCCCCGGGCGCCCCCGACATCCCCGGGACCACGCCGCCCCCCAGGCGCCCCCCACCTCCCCGGGCTCCCGCCGCCCCCCGCGCGCCCCACCTCCCCGGGGCCACGCCGCCCCCCGCGCGCCCCACCTCCCCGGGGCCACGCCGCCCCCCAGGCGCCCCCCACCTCCCCGGGGCTCCCGCCGCCCCCCGCGCGCCCCACCTCCCCGGGGCCACGCCGCCCCCCGCGCGCCCCACCTCCCCGCGGCCACGCCGCCCCCCGCGCGCCCCACCTCCCCGGGGCCACGCCGCCCCCCGCGCGCCCCACCTCCCCGGGCCACGCCGCCCCCCGCGCGCCCCACCTCCCCGGGGCCACGCCGCCCCCCGCGCGCCCCACCTCCCCGGGGCCACGCCGCCCCCCGCGCGCCCCACCTCCCCGGGGCCACGCCGCCCCCACCTCCCCGGGGCCACGCCGCCCCCACCTCCCCGGGGCCACGCCGCGATCCCTCCCAGCGCCGAGTCCCGGCGGCGCCGCACTCACTGCTCTCGGGTCCCCAGCGCCGAGGGGGCGAAGCCGTCCCCCCCAGGGCCGCCCCCGCCGCCCGCGCTCATGCCGCCCGGCGCCCCGACCGCCGTCAGGGCGGCCACAGAGACGCGCCGCGGGCTGAGCGGACGCCGGGCGGGCGCGTCTAGGCGCCGGGAGGCCTCCCTCTCGACTGCTCCCGGCCCCGCGCCCGGCCGGCCGGCGGGCGGCCCTTGGCGCAGCTCCCCGCCCCGCCTTCGTGACAACTCGGGGTGCCCGAGCCCCGCGGGGCCGGGCGGGGCCTCCTTCCCCGCGCGCCGGCCTGCGTGGAGGCGCCGCCTTCATCCAGGGGCCGCCGAGCGCCGCCGCATGCGGGGGTCGTTCACAGGGGCCGGTCCGTCGCGGAAGGTCCCGCGTCCGGGAAAAGGCGCCGGGACGCGGGCGCGCGCGACCAGAAGGCGCGACACCGGGTCGCGGGTGCCAGGCCTCGGCGCACCTGCCCACGGGGTGGCACCGTGTGTGCAGCACTCCCGGCCGCCGGCTGCCGTGGCTTCCCTTGTGCACCCAGCAGCAGGGCGGAGGCTGGTTCCCCGCGACCGCTCGGGCCGGGGAGGCTGAGTCACCTGCCTTCAGGGGTTCTGCAGGTTGAGGCTGCTGGTCTTCTGGGCTTGAAATCGAGACCAAACGGTAGAATGTCTCAGACCCTAAAGTACAAGAGCGAGGTCAAGACTCGCCTAACCTTCTGCTTGAGGTTTGCTTTTACAGTCACAGAAGATCCTGGACCTCGTGGACACGAGGGCTCAGCAAGCAGAAGCCAAGGTCCCCGCCTCCAGCCTCAAGGGGGCTGGAGACCTGCACTCAGGGAGGAGGGGGCTACCCGGAGGCACCTTCACAGCAGAAAGTCACAATCCCAGTGATCTGAAGAAAAGCTTTTTCCGGCTCCATGTATGAACTGCCCTGTGACTAGCCGGTGAACTTCAGCCAAGTCCACATCTTCTCCCCGTAACCCACTTTTTTAGCCAATAAAATCCTTCGTTCTCAAACTTTGGAGCCTAAAACCTATGTAACCTCATTTCTTAATCAGGCAGGTAGGTAAGAATTTGTCTCCTACCTCCTTGCAGCCTATTTGTAAATAAAGCTGATTTCTCAAATACCTGATGTCACAACTATTGCTTGCTAAAAAGCTAAAGGGCAGGTGGGGGGATGGGTGGCCTCTAGCAGTGAGGTGCTTGTAGCCCAGCGTCCTAGGCAAGAATCTCAAAGGCCCCAGCAAGGCTGCCTATCCAGTGAAAGGAATGTTTCCTAGGCCACGTTTCTGTTGTCTTGGCCAACAGAAGCCCAATAACAAGTCCCCAGAGGTAAACAGCATCAGCAGAGGCCGATCCAGCGCATGTAAATCCCGCTTAGCAGCGAAAGTGCTTCTCCCCCTCTAGGAGATGTCCCAAGATCTTCAGGCCACCGCTGGTGAGATAATACGGGGAAAGACAGATGGGAACCCATGTGCACAGTGATTAAAGAACTCAAGAAAGAGCGTAAGTAACCTTATTACAGAGCAATGAAACCACCGGATGCCACAGCCAATTAGTGCTGCCCTAGGCAAATGGTTGTTTTGATCTTTTCTAGACTCTAGCTGCTGGAGAAAGCAAGCTTGAATGTGACTGAGTGGGTCTTAAAAAGTTTTAGGTTCTAATTAAGAAGCGCTCATGAAACATAAGGCCGTCTTCAAGCTGGTGTCTTGCCAACACTTTAAGATGTTTTTGCTGTGTGTGACGAACACTATAAACAGTTGTTGGTATGGGGCCCAGGAAAAGGTCTCGGTTTATACAGAATTCCTTCTCTGGCTCCAGGATCACTCTGACTGTTTAGTCCTGCAGGCTGTGTGGCCCCCACCTCTGATCACCCAGGGCAACGGGGTTCTGTGGGAAGGGGTGGAGATGGTCAATCTGAGCAGAGCTGCCCATCGCCAGGGAGTAGCTGTGCTGTGCCAAGGAACACAGTCCCTCCCAGTGGGTGCCCCTTACATGAGGCGAGAGGGAGACTAAGCACTCTGGATTGCCTCACTCCCTCCCCCTCAGTCTGGCACCCTCCCCACCTCCAACTGAAACTGTGCCTTCAGGAGTTCTGCAACACTTCCCAAACTATGGCCTTTACCTGCTGCACCCATCAAGGTCACGTAGCACATAATTTCTATAAAAGCCCTTCCTGTTTCCCCAGTGAGTGAGCCTTTGAAAAGGGGGAGCTCAGGGCCCTGCTCTGCAGTTGGACTGCCAAGTTTTGAACCCTGGCCTTAGAGGTGTGACCACGAGCCAATTCCCGAGCCCCAGGGCCTCAGTGTCTCCCCCTCATAAGCAGGAAAATAGTGCCTACAGAGAGAGGCAGCTTCCTCAATTCAATATCAGCACTGTGAAATCCAATATGCCTTCACCTGTAAATGCTAGAGCAGTTTCTTCTACTATAAAATGGAGAGTAAAATGGGGCTACTTCAGGGGGGTATTAGCACAGTTAAGTTAATGCACTGTACAGGTAAAGAGCTTAGAAAGAGCCTGACACCTCATGTCCAGTGTCAGCTATTGTTATTAGTGAATTGTAGTTGTGTTCTCTATCCTCGGCTTTCATCGCAGCCGAGAGGTCCCTTGTTACATTAAACCCATCCTACTCAAAACTGAGCTCTCAGCCCCCAAACCTCCAAGCCCTAGCTTCCCCATTCAGCTGGGCCCTGACCATCCTACATCACCTGAAGCAGAGCATCATCTTGTCCTCGCCTCCTACTCCTTGCAATACCTTGCTTCCCCAGCCTCTGCACTCAGGCACTTTGGCATCCTGCCCCCACTCTCTGCCTTCCCATACTTCTCAGGCTCAGAGCTCACTGGGGCCATTCTTTCCAATAAGCCTCCATGAGCCATTTGGCTCTGCACCCCACCTCAAGTCCCATATACAACTATTCCCCTCTTCTTCCAGGAAGGCCTCCAAGACTCATTCAGGTTTTCTCACTTTAGGGCCTGACTCACACTTTTCCTGCGCATTATATTGTGTGGTGATGGACTAGGGAGTCAAGCCAACCTATGTGACCTAGTCACATAGATCTGATCTTGGGTGAGTTACTTAATCTAATCCTCTTATGTTTTGGTTTCCTCAACTACAAAATGGGCATAATCCATATGAAACGGGATTTCTTGTGCCCACTTGTTTCAGACCCATCCCAGTAGTATGTTTCATTTGCATGCAGCATCTGTTTCAACAGCTATAAATGGAATCCTACCATTTGTATTGTTTGCAACTTGCAGTCACTTGCTAAAATTATACCTATATGATATACTGGGAGGTCTTTTGTTGATGCCTTTTAGATTTTAAACTACTTCTTGATAATAAAACATTCATTGTGCACCAGGGACTATGTTAAACACATCTAATATGTTATTTATTTATTTTAAAGATTTATTTAGAACAGGGGTGTAGGCCAGAGGTGTGGGTGGGTGAGAGGATTCACCAGAGACAGAGTGGGGAGCAGAACAGGCAGATGCACTGAAATACACTGCTGAGGGGAGCAGCAGGTGAGTCAGGAGAGGTCTGCTGCGCCATTTGGGTAGCTCCCTGGCCAGGGAACGAACTCATGCTGCAGTGGCTGGCAATTTCTTCATAGCACTGTGTCTTCATTAACCCCTGTGCCACCAAGGAGGCTCCCAATATGTTATTAATAGCTGCATGAAGCAGCTACTAGTAATATCCTCATTTTACAGAAGAACAAACCAAGCCACAGGGAGGTTCCCAAGGTCACACAGTGAGTTCAAGAACAGAGACCCAAACCCAAGCAATCTACTATTAAAGTCTTCCAGCTTAACCACTACATAGGTGTACTCAGTCACTCCTCATGTTTTGCTGAAGATTTTCACAAAGAAGTTAGCCCAAGGGAACTACACCACTACACACGATACCAGAACCTAAAATTTCCTTATCCTCTCCTTTTTCGCCACTGTCCAGCTTCCCACTCTAGCTATTCATCTGCCCTTCTTTTACTCCATCTCCTTCCCCCTCCCCCAGACACTGCCATTCCATCTGATTCTCTTTTCTCGCTCATCTCCTCCTGCATTCCGAACTGTTTCTTCACTGGGTAACCTGAGGTACCTCCTCATTAGTGAGCTTACTCCTTTTGTCAGCTGCTGTCTCCATCCCCCTCTAGCTCGCTGCTGATAAAACTCAACCATCTTCCATGGGCCCCAGCACCATGTCATGCAACATTCACTCACTAATCATGGATTGTGTAACATCTACTGCCATTGAGTTATTCCAGGTCCTGAGGTAAAAAGAGAGAGGGAGAGCCTGGAAGCAGGGAAGTGGAGTGCACCCAGAGGGCAGTAGCAGCAAATGAAGTCAGACAAAGAAGTCAGGTAATTGATCAGGGTTTGACAAAACCAACAAGATTTTAATCTTGGCTGTTAGGTTGAGAATGGATTTGGCACGGAAGGCGTTAAAGACAAAAGAGTTTCTGGATTTTGGTCACCATTGGCATTTTGAGAAAGGAAAATTTGGGGGAGGGGGCAAAGATGGGAGGAGATTGTGGGCTGTGCATTGTAAGATATTTACCAGAACCCAAGGCCTCTAAATTGTAGATGCCAGTGACTTCCTCCTCTAAGTTGTGACATTAAAAATGTCTCCAGACATCGCCAAATGCCCCCCACCCCCCCAGGGACAAAACTGCCCCTAGTTCAAACCCCTGAGTTAGAGGCTGTTAGAATGACACAGGAGAGAGAAGGCAATGACTTGGAACGCCACCACAGGTATACTGGTGGTGGGGTTGTAGGATTCTGGATAAATTTTGAAAACCGTGCTGTCTCATCAAATGTGAGCTAAGAGCATGTGTGCACGTGTGTGTGTGCGTAGACTGAGTCTAAGATTTGGGGGCTTCACACCTGTCAGAAAACAGTTCTGTTTGCTGAGCTTGTAAAGAGTGTGGTGGAAGGAACTCTAGGAGAGGGAGATCAGGAGCCCAATTTGAAACGAAAAACTGAGCCAATGGAAGAATGATGGTTAGTAATGCTAGTTACTCTGCTGAGTTTCTTTGCCTAACTTGGTTATACTTTCGGCTGCCTATCACTTACGCTGCTTTTTGTGTTTCGTTTTTTTCTTTTAATCTTCGTCTTCATTAAATTTGCGTTCTTTCGGCTTTCCAATCCAACCTCGTCTGACAATCTCGTCTGGCCGACTGCGCGGGTGGCACCATTTCTGACCCCCGGTTCTCCCTCACCCCCAGTCCTTGCAACGGGATGGACACCCCCTCCCTCGGCTCCCTCCCGGCGCTGCATCCCCGACCTGGCTGCAGCATCCCCGACCTGGCTGCAGCCCGAGCGGCCACGCGAAAGTTGAAGTCACAGCCTGTTTCTACCAGGCCCAACCCCAAAGCGTACCATTGCCCGCACGTCTCCCTCGGGTCATCCACGAGCCCCGCGGCTGCTGGCTCTGAACACCAAGAATTTCACTTGCAAAGAGAAAGGGCGGCCTGGGGCACTGCCAGGAGCCGCGCGCGGCAGGCCGGGGCGGGACGCGGCACCCCAGCGGAGCCCACGGCGCCGGGCACTCGCAGCGCGGGCTGCGCACCTTGCGGCCGTCACTACCGCGCGCCGGCCTCGCGCCGCCGCGCCCGTGACTTCATTTCCCAGGATGCGCCGGGGCGGGCCGGCCGGAAGGCTGTGTGCCGTCCGCAGAGCATGATGGGGGATTTGGAGATTTCCATCATGGCGGCTTCCATTTCGGGCTACACCTTCAGCGCTGTGTGTTTCCACAGCGCCAACAGCAACGCCGACCACGTAGGTGCCGGGCCCCCAGTCGCGGCCGCTGGGGCCTCCCGCCTCCGTCTCGGGACGGCTCCTGCGGCCTAGCAGGGGCCAGTCTCGGCTCGCTCCCCTGGCTCCCGGGCCGGCCCGAATCGCTAGTGAACCGGGCGGCTCCCGACCCCGGCGAGCCGCTGCTGCCCCGGCTCCTTCGCCCTCGGGTTGGGCCCCTCATTCGGTGCCTCCGCTCTCCGCCGGCCGGCACTTAGCAAAGCTGTCTCGCCTGGCGGCTGGCAGTGGCAGGAGTCGCCCAGTGGAGACCGAGCGCCTGCCACTCCCTGAGACCCGGGCGGCCGGACTTGCGAGGAGCGCCCGGGGTCGCGAAGGGGCTGGCGGCGGCTTCAGCGACGCCCGCCGGGCCCAGCGATTGTCTCGGGGTGCGACGAGGGAAGCACTACCTGCCACTGTTCTTACTTGTTAGATCCAGCCGTGTGTTTTCTTTGCCTCGATGGAAAATGGAGAACGTAAACAGGAGCGTTCTGTGAGGTCTGCTTGCCTCGAAGTTGCATGTTTAGTTCCTTGGCGAATGTTCTGAGGCCTCGGAAGTAGTCGCAGCGAAATGGGGAAGTGGCAGGCGAGTGTGTGAGTGATCGGATGTGCAAAGGCTTTGCAGCTGGGAGAGGGAGCAGAGCCAGTCTGCCTCAATGTCTATTTTCAATGGTCTTTCAGTGTCATGGGTCTCCGAATGGGCATTGTTTGTGAAATTAGAAAATTTTTTATCTTAAAGCATGTATTTAGTTTACTCACCACATTGAAGGATGATCTTAAAAGATGTTACTAGTGAGTTAATTCAAATTCGTGAAATAAGAGGTGTGGACACGGTGGTTGTGGGTGCTGGCTGGCGGAAGAAGGAACTGAATTTGGTTTGATGTCATCAATATTAGTTTCCATTAATAAAAACTGAGTTCATAGAGATGTGATTCCATTAGTAAATTGGATGGCATTAAATTATTCCTTTCATCTCGTCAGGGATGATGGAAGAGATTAATGATAGGAATATACAAAACATGGGTGTTTACAGAGGCAGCCGCCTTTGATACTGCAGCCAGTTGTTTAATAATGTAAGGCAGTTTCACATATAGGTGGTTTGGATACTCCTAGTGTTGGTGGAAATATTAATTATTGTTTCAATAATGCTTTGCTGCTCTACTTCTTGGAGAGCCTGGTCATAACACAATTTCTGTATAAAGCAAGACTTTTATAAGAATAAGCAGCTACCTGTTGAAAAGTGGATTGTTTTTCTACAACTGCTGTGAGATGGTCATGTTACTTAGGTTATTACTAATTTACTTCAAGAGATACGTCTTTAATATCTGCAGTGTGCCAGGCCTGGCGCTAAGTAGGCTTCTCAGAAACCTTCACTCATGGCAGTAGTTTGCCATAAGTATCTGTATCTTACATGACCATACCTGTTTATATTAACCTTGCCATAATTATATGTGTGTAATACTTTAAAGTCATATCAATTTTATTTATTTTAAAGTTAACAACCAAGAATTTACTTTGACAGTACATTCTTGTTTTGTCCAGGCAAGAAATTACCTTGAAACCACTCATTATTCTATAGAGCTAGAGTTTATATTATTCTGTAGAGCAATCTTTTTCTGTAAATATTTTACAAGTAGTAAATATTTTAGGCTTTGCTAGCCTTTTGGTCTCTATAGCAACTAAGCCCTGCTGTTGTAGGAAGAAGCAGCCATAGATAATAAATAAATAAGGGTGACTGGTTCCAATAAAATTTTAATTATGGACACTGAAATTTGGATTTCATATAATTTCACATGTCATAAAATAGCATCCCCATTTTTCTTTAACCAATTTAAAGTGTAGAAACCATTCTTAGCTTATGAACTGAACAATAGCAGCATTAGGCTGGTTTTTGCACACACACTGTAGCCTGCTTACTCCTACTGGAAAGTAACAGTGGCTCCTATAATCCAGACCAGGAGATAAATTAGCATTCATTTTATATGGGGCTTTAGGGTATCTTGACATCACCACTGACTTTTCAAATTGAGGACTATGACAGAGTTTCTAGATAAAATACAGGGCACTCACTGAAATTTGAATTTCAGAGAAGTGATTTTTTTTGTTTTTGGTTCTGTTTTGTTTTTTAGTATAAGTATATGCCAAATGCTATCTAAAAATTATTTGTTGTTTATCTGAGATTCAAATTGAAGTAGGAGTCTTGTGTTGTTGCAAAAATCTGTCACTCCTCGTCTGTCCAACACTAGGAATATATAGATAGGTTTTTTTTTTTTTAATAGAGGCATGTTTTATTTATTTATTTATTTGTTTATTTGTTTTGTTTGTACATGCACTGGGTACAGTCAGAAGCGTGGGAGGGTGAGAGAAGTCACCAGAGCCAGAGCAGGGAACAGAACAGGCAGACTGATGAAGTACATTGCTGAGGGGAGCAGCGGGCGGCAGGAGAGGTCTGCGCGCCATGTGGGACCCTCCTCTGGTGGCCGGGGAGCAGCCGGGGATCGAACCGGCGCCGCAGAGGCTGCGGGCAGCTTCGCAACCCAGCGCTCAATCGCTGCGCCACGGGGGAGGCCCTAGATAGGTTTTTAAGGGCTAAAGTTCTATAGGGATTTGAAATTGGGTTTTTTTTTTTTCCACTTTGATTAAAAAATGTCTCAATCTGTTGCAAACAAAACTTCTCTTTTGTAATGAGAACTCGTAACTGAAAATTTTTCATAGGATTAACCAAACTTCTTTAGGAGATGATTCCCTCAGGTCTGAAAAAAAATTTTAAGTAATCTATATATTACTCAAGTTTGAGAAATGCCCTATACGTGACTTTTAGATTCTAGAACAATCCATTCCCCTAATGCAATCCAGGGCTATGCTGTAAAGCATCTGTCTCTCCCTCCTCACCCCCACAGATTCTCATATCCAAGAAGAAATGTTTTAAAACTAGGAAACTTCTCTAATTGATTTGAGGACTCTACCTAGAATAGACAGTCATATAGTACAAGGACATTGTTTCAACAAATTTATTCAACAAGTATTTATTGAGCCCCTACTAGGTATGGGGTACTTTGTTGGGTTTTTTGTTTGTTTGCTTTTTTTTTTTTTTAGATTTATTTATTCAAGAACGGGGTACAGGCCAGATGCATGGGAGGGTGAGAGGATTCACCAGAGACAGAGAGGGGAACAGAACAAGCAGACTGACGAAATACACTGCTGAGGGGAACAGTGGGCGAGACAGAAGAGGTCTGCTGCGCCGTGTGGGATTCTCGCCCAGCTGGTGGGGATCAAATCTGTGCTGCAGAGGCTGCAGACAGCTTCATAGTGTGGCACTCAACCGCCTGCGCCACCAGGGAGGCCCTGGTATGGGGTACTTTATTAGGTGCTAAGCTATAGCAATGAATAAGCTCTCCCTCCCCTCATGAAGCTTAGATTTTAGTGGGAGGTAGGCATTTATTTATTTATCTGAACATGTAATATGTGAGTGAGAAGACCAGGAAGAAAAAGATGCAGGGTGAAGGGAAAAGAATGCCTGGCAGACAATGTGTCATGGCATTGGCTGGGGAAGGCCTCTCCTAAGGCTCTGATAGGTGCTATTTCAGTAAAGGGCCTGATGGCAGAAAGGGTGGTGAGCCATGTGGGCATGTGGGGAGGGAGATCCAGGACAGCATGTGAGTTCACGCTTTCTACAGGGACGTTCCTTGAGATTTAGAGTGTATATTTTCCAGCCAAACTTGCACTGAACTTGACACCAGGCTCTTGAACAGTAAGTTCAGCACTGAGTAATCTAGAATTGCTCTTGACGGTGTATGTTCTCCAGAAGTGTCTCTCAGTTAACTCTGCATTTATGAAAGAAAAATTTTCATGTGAGAGTGATGGAGATTTACCTGATTTCCCATGTCCGCCTGTACAAGAGCAATTAGTTGGGCGTTGTGTTAACTTCTTTATTCTTTTATCGTTAGCTGTGTTTTAAATGAGTGAAATCAGTTTTATGCTGTCTCAGGAAAACAACCTTGGACTGTTTCTGCTTCCTGAGATTTTTGATTTTTTTTATTACACTTCATAGGATTTAAATGATGATGAATCACTCCTTATTTTTACTTGCAAAAAACAGAATAGGCGCGACTCCACTGACCCCCGCCTTGGGTCTGTGAGGTCCACCCGGGGCGCAATAAACTTTCCCTCCCTTTGAGAAATGTAAAAAAAAAAAAAAACCAGAATAATTGAAGGGATTAAAGTATTTCACCTAGCCATGGAATCCTTTTTTCAAGCAATCCAGTAAATAGCTGTAGTTCAGATTCGTTTTGTCTTGCATATTGGTCTATATTAGTTTACGTGGCAAACTTGTTTGGATTATTGTCAAAATTATTATAAAATTATGTCCTCAATTCCTCTTAACTCCAGTAAAAAAGGTCATCTTTACTCTTGGCTGCAAATGTTTTCTTTTATTGCTTTTAGGAAGGCTTTTTGCTGGGAGAGGTAAGACAAGAGGAAACCTTCAGCATCAGCGACTCCCAGATCAGCAACACAGAGTTTCTGCAAGTGATTGGTGAGTGAGCCAGTGCTGCGCCGGCTTCTCTCTGCATGTATGCTGTTCGGTATGTCCTAGGGCCCTTAACTGCCTCCTACAGGATTGAAAGAGTACGTAGAAGATAACCCAAATCACAGCGCAGATTATTTTGGCTCATAAAGTGAAGCAGTCAGTGTAAACTTACAGAGCATGGCCGTGAGTGTAGGTATTCAGTAACCGTCCTCACCCACCAGCCGCTCTGCCTCTCACTGAATTGCTGTGTCCTAATGCACTTGATAGTCACTTCAAAGCCATGGTTAGCATCAGTTATGCAAACTGGGCTATCCCCCTTGCCAACACCCAGTGACCTCATCTCTAATGAAAGGATATGCTGTGGTGGTCCTTCCAGGAGGGATCTGGCAAGATGTTCAGCTTGTTTGCCGAAGCTTTTGGCTGCACCTGCACAGCCTTGAGGGTGGGTGGGGAGGGGTTGTGGGGAAGGAGATGAGAAGTTGTAGATGCTCACACTCTGTTTTTAAAGGAGAACTCTTTTTTTTTGTTTGTTTATTTATTTATTTACTTATTTATTTATACAAGCACTGGGTACAGTCAGAAGCGCGGAAGGGTGAGAGAATTCACCAGAGTCAGAGCAGGGACCAGAGCAGGCAGAGGGACCAAAGTACACTGCTGAGGGGAGCAGCGGGCAGCAGGAGAGGTCTGTGCGCCATGTGGGACCCTCCTCCGGTGGCCGGGGAGCAGCTGGGGATCGAACCGGCGCTGCAGAGGCTGCGGGCAGCTTAGCAACCCAGCGCTCAACCGCTGCGCCACCGGGGAGGCCCCACACTCTGTTTTTAAATAAGGATCCCAGTCCTTTTTGCTGCACTCTGAGCATCTCACTAAGCAGCATATGCTGCAATTCAGAGCCAAGGAGGGCATCTCATTCATCTATGCAGCTGACATTTATTGAAGGATGTCCACATGCAAGGTGTGTGCCAGAGGAAGCTCCTTCTAGCAGCATGGGGAGATTGAGACAAGTATGCAGAAATACCAGACAGTGCTAGATGAGTGTTGTAGGAAAGAAACAAAGAAAGCCCCATATGTTGGAAGAAATTGCTAGTGGGTGAAGTCAGGAAGGTAAACTTCGGGTCCGTGGGTGATAAGTTAGAGGAACGCAGAGCCAGGAGCACAGAAAACACCCAGGGCCTTCCTCTGGTGTGATTCTGTGAGACTCAGAATATGGGAAGGTGAGTGGTTTGGAGGACGGCTGGAGGTGAGGTCACATTGAGGTTCACTCTTTGGTCTCAAGCCTGATGGCCTTCTAGCACCCGAATTGGGGGACCAGGGTGAGGAATGAGGGGGAGTTGGACCTGGGAAAGACAAGAGAATGAATGGGCTGGAATTGTCAGACCCACCTATCACAGTACTGGCTTGTTAAAGAATTGATACGCAGAGGATAGCTGTTTTTAGTTTTGCTTTACTTAACTCTTTGAAATTCTAAAATCGAGACTTTGGTTTCATTGGACACCTGTGCAGTTATTTCTTGTTTGCACTTGGGTTTCAAAATTCATTTGACAAATGAAGGTTAAACTGTCAGTTGTACTTGCCTGACAGCAAAGTGCAAGAAACAACTCTCTAATCTGGCACGATCACAAAATCAGTACTTATCATCAGTATTCTGGCTACTTAAATTTTTTTATTAAGTTTTTGTTTCTGTTTTTTAAAGATTTATTTATTTTTATACAAGAGCTGGGGTATAGTCCAGAGGTGCGGGAGGGTGAAAGGATTCACCAGAGACAAAGTGGGGAGCAGACCAGGCAGACGGACCGAAATACTACTGAGGGGAGCAGCAGGCGAGACAGGAGAGGTCTGCCACACCATGTGGGAATCTCCCTGGCCTGTTGGGACTCGAACCTGCACTGCAGAGGCTGCGGACATCTCCACAGCGCTGCACTCAACCTGCTGCACCACCGGGGAGACCCTCTGGCTACTTAATTTTAAGAAATGGAATGCTAAAATAATTCAGATTTGACAATATAATGTACTGAGGCTTTGATTCATAAACTTCTAGTTTTTGCAGAAAATACCAGTCCCTGTGGAGACTGCATCAGCCGTAGAGTCCAGTTCATAAAGGACTTGGATAGCCATTCTTTGCTGCACAACCTTTAATTATTTGCTGCACTCAAGTCATCATTTGAAACAATTATGGATCTCATGGACAAAGCGTTTGCTAATATTATCTTAAATGTATGATTTTCATTGTAATAGTTTTCTTTTAAAAATATATGTTAGAAAGTGTCAACTAGGACCCTGGAAAACCTAGGTTGAAAGGCCAGATGTGAGGTAAAGGGCCAGGAGCACTGTTCCATCCCAGAGTGGGGAGGAATGTTCTGGCAGAGCATAGCCTCCAGAGTAAGCTGGTTAAAATGACTTGAATGGACCACACTTATTTTATTGAAAAATGCCTGAGTCCATGCCCAGACATGTTTGCTTACGCCACACAAAAAGGAGGACTCTATAGAGAACAACACATTTTGTGTCTGAAGTGTCAGTGTCTTGTTTTGAATGCGTATTAATTTTCAGAGCTGCGCTAACTCACTGTAAGCAGAGCTGTCCCCCCTGAGTCCTGGGAGTGGAGGGGGCAGGCCACAACTGAGTCTTCCTGAGTTAATGAGGCCTAGCAGCAGTGGGAGAAATGGAGAGAGAGGGGGGTGCCGGTCACCCACCAGGAGGAGAAGCCGAGACTGAAGGGTAGGAACAGCAGCACCCCCGGTGGAGACTGTGAGAGAAATGAGGCAGAGAGGCCACCGGTGCGCGAACAGGAATCTGCCCGCCCATGCGCTTTGTGGGCAGAGGAACCTTCAGCTGAGGTGAGGCTGCCCCCTCCCAGAGCTCAGTCCCCCGGCCTCATTCCCACCTGCAGCTTTGTCGAGGGTGAGGCCATCACTCTGTTTCGTGGAGGTCTCTGCTATAGCAAAAACTCTAAGAAAACTTTGGCTTTCTTTAGAAGATACCACTTGTTTTCTAGAGCACATGTAGCGTGTCTAAGCCAGGTTGTAAGTCATAAAAGAGATGTGACAGGAGCGTGTGCCCAGAGTTCAGAACTTGCTCTAGGACTTACTTAAAATGCTCTGGAGGCAGCTCTCCTGCCCCGTGCCCGTGCAGGTGTCTCTCTTCGCCTCTCTTTCCTTGGCAGAACAGCAGCGGCAGCTCTTCCCGCCTGCCTACATCCGTGCAGGCGCCTTCTCCTTTTTATAAACCTACCCTTTTGGAGAGTAAAAAAATAGATGTTCTTTCAAGTAGAAGATAGTTTTTCCTTTTTCTTGAACTCTAGGTCATATTTTTGCTAAAAATGCTTCACAGCCTAATTACCTTCCAGCGTCTCTGAGATAACTTGCGGTGGTGGACTATCATTTTTGGTGATAAAAGAAGGAAATATTTCTAGATAAGGTTTTCTTACCTTATCAACAGCCACATTTGGCAAATGAATATTCCTCTCCTGAGGAAGTTCGGCGTGCATCTTCGCGCTCAGCAACACTGACATCAGCACAGAAGCTTCTGGGCACAGCCTCCTGTCCTGTACGGTTGTGGTTTCGTTTTAATCAAGTTAAAAATGTAGCCTAGAACGCTACAGCTATGGCTTTGTAAACAGCAGGGACCAAGTGACTCTCCAGGAGGAAGTTATTAATAGACTTGAATGGTCAGTCAGTCTCATGGTCTCACAGCGGCCCCACCCTCGGTCTCCTGCTTGAAGAGCCTGAAGAAATCGGCCGCTTTGGTTCACCTCAGCAGTCTTCAGAAGCCTTTAGGACCTGCCTTCACAAAGACTGTTTCCCTTGGCGCTGGTCGGCCCAGGGTGTCCTGAGTTACCAGGTTTTTGATGGAGAGTGGGAGAGCCCTTCCCCTCCCCAGGCTGGGTCACAGCTCCTGACCCACCATTTCAGCACTGCCAGCCGCTGGTGTCTCTCCCCTCAAGCTCGGCTTAGCTGACCCAGGGCACGAGAGCTGGGCCTGCCTGAGAGAAGCTCCTCACACAGGGACAAATGAAGGGTGCTCTTCCTCGCCTTGATGCCATGCAGAGAATGTGTCCCTGAGTTTGAATGTTAAAAAACGCATGACCTCACTCATGCACACACAGTGCCTGTGGGGATGAGGACAGCTGTCTCTACTAAGATTTTGGTTGGGAAAAAAAAATGCTGGGCTATTTTTCAGTTGTCTTTGTCTTACATGATTAACTGAGTGAGGTGTGTTTCTTCTAATTACAGAAATCCATAACCATCAACCTTGTTCCAAACTTTTTAGGTAAGCCATATCTTGCTTTTTGTCCTTGTTAGAAGATTAATGGATTAAAAACCAGTGCCTTGCGGCCTGCAGCTGGTCATGGCAGTGAACCTACATGTGACTGAGGGAGGCCCTCCAAACCCACGTCTGTGTTAGGAGCCCAGAGTCCACATGGTGGCAGGTTAGGTTAGGAAAGGAGGTGGGAGACAGTGTTGTCGTTGTCCTCCGTGGCCTAGAATGGTCTAGAACAGCCTGCTTAGAAAGCTCTTGAGCCAAATGAAAGGAAGGCAATCAAGGATCACTAGTAGGTAAAATGGTTTAAGGGGGTTTTTAAAGAGAAATTTAAAAAGTTCTGTGTTCAAGTATAAAATACAGGGAAACAGAACTTAAACTTCTTTTTCATGTTGAAGTCCACATACACCGGTTACAGATTATGACCAGGTAAGGGACAGACAGGAAAAATGGAGGAGAGACATTCAGAAGGGAGAACAAGACAGAGAGACTCATGGCGGGGGAAGGGTAAGGGAGAAAGGCTAGTATCTCCCAGCCAGACTTCTCCCTCAGCCACTGCCTAGGCCTCTGCCTTCTTCCTTGTCCCCAAGTGCTCCCACTGATGACTGGGTGACGATTTGAACTCTGTGCTTGTGAAACCACCCTGGGGCCCTACCTCTGCTTTTCCAGAAGCCAGGCCCCTGCTCGCCTCCCAGGCTGACCACCCAGGAGGACTTGGTGTTTGGTCAGCACACCCACCCTCCTTACCTGGCTTGTCCTGCTATGTGACCCCTGCAGTTTCACAGGGACCTCTCTCCCATTCTCAGCCCACCCAGACCCCTGGGGTGTCCCACACCCCACACACTCACATCCCAGTGATTATTTCAGGGGACTGTCATCTTGCTAGAGGGCTGCCTGTGCAGGAGACCTCGAGGTGGCCGTAGCCCTCCTCTCTCTCATCACACTTGCCTAAAGGAGTGGGAGCGCTCGAGCAATCTGAGTTCATTGGAAAAGAATCTCAGAGCAAATGAAGTGATTCAGACCCTAATCTACCCATTGCCTTAGCCTGGTTTGTGGAAGTGAGTCTGCTTTGGCTCTGACCGTCCACAGCTTTGCTCCATGTGTCCTGTCCTACCCTTCTGAGGGATTCCTGAACATGCTGGCAGCAAAGTGGTGTCAGAACATGAATTTAACTAAGTTTAAATCGTAGACTCACCATCCTTAGAGCTGAAAGAAGCCCTCCAACTGTGTTGCAAAAAAGAAAGTGGAAGCCAGATACGTTGGCAGTGTGCATGAGATTGCATAGTACGACGCAGCCCTGGCCTGAGCTGGTGTCCGAGCTCCCAGTTCACTGCTCTTTACCGCAGCTCAGAGAACTTACACCTCTAAGCCTGGGCTTACAGTGTGTGCAGGAAGGGTGGCACTCTGAAAACCGCCACCCTCCCCCACCCCTACCCCCACCCCTGCCCTAGCTGGCAGGACTCTGGTCCTGGGTCTGGGTTAGGGGCGTGTGCACTGTCTGTAGTCTCACAGACCATCTTCGTGCCCCACCCTCCCCTCTCCCGGCTCTGATGCAGGCCCAGTCCCTTAGCCTCAGTGTCTTCAGCTACAGAAATGGGAATAAAACTTGTTGGCCCAAACTCTGCTTACCTCCCAGGTTGCAGGCAAGAATGAAATGGAATCGAAAGCATCAGGCTGAGCGCCTCGTTAAAAATTTATAAACTGCTTTGTTTCCTTTATGTGACAGAAAATGACCTCTTATGTTCTTTTTGTTTTCATCAGTAATTGATACTTAAAAACAGGGAAAGATGTCACAACCACTTGAAACCACAGGCTTTGTAGTTGCTTGCTGTCAGTGCCTCCCACACCCTGAGTATGGCAGGCTCCTGAGGGCTTTGTGATGCAAAAGATCCCTCTGTCAATAAAGCGATTAGATTAGTGTAATGCCTCTGTATGCTGTTGAAAACAGGTCTCTATCACCAACTTTTAGGGTTAGATGTCCCAGGGAAACATGTAGCTGATAGGCATATCCTTGTCATAGTACTATGTGATTTTAATAAAATTTGTTTTTCTCTTAAAACAGTTTTTATGACTATGCAAGCAAAGTTAATGAAGAGAGTTTGGACAGAATTCTCAAGGACCGGAGAAAGGTATGTCCTGCTTGTTGCCTACGCTTATTTGGAAATATTCCTTCTCATCAAACTTAAAACCAGAAAGGAAGATAAACTGAAGCAGTTAATCTGATGTTAATATAAGTGTTCCATTAACTAGTAGATTTTAAAGATAATTTGCGGATAAGCCAACGTTTCTAATTTATCAATAGAAAAAATAGATATATACTGTAAGTCCTCACTTAGCTTCATCAGTAGGTTCTTAGAAACTGCTGCTTTAAGTGAAGGACACATAATGAAAGCAGGTCCTTGGATAATGCCATCTTGTTCCGCGTTAATCAGTTTAGTAAAACAATATGTAATGGAAAAATTCTCAGACCTGCTATATGAATGATTCCATTATGTAAAAATCAGAATTTTAAATAATGAACTATCACCCAGAATACCACAGTATTAAGTTGATTCTGAGTGGTTATATCTTTCTACTTTGTAATCTTAGAGATAATTCTGTAAATATTTAATATCCATGCCTTCATTTTATAATCAAGAAAAATAATTCTGAGAAACTGCAGTCAAACACCTTTGGATATATCATTCTTTCAAGCTCAATTAATGTTGAATATAGAGATTTTTCCAAAAGGTCATGTATGTATTATTTCTGTCAACGTATGCATATGATATTCTGATTATGACAAGTCCGAATAGACTTGGAAAAGAACCAGCATTTTCTAGCTGCAGATTATCACACGGTCTCGTTTACAGCTTACTCAGTTGTGATGTGTGTGGATTTTACTTTTTAACCTGGGTGTATTCGTTCTAGGAAAAACAGGTTGAGGGAAAAAAAGTACCCATAAAACTATCCAGCTTCTCAAAACTAAACGCTTTGTTTAGAAGCATGTATTATTTTAAAAACCTTTTAAAAATTATCTATGTGTTAAAAAGAATCACGGCAGTGTGGGACTTGGTTCCGAGGTGTCTGAAGAAGGGTTTCGGAATCTAGAGTGCAAGGGGAATAGACGAGTGACCTTTCTCAGGCGCAGGGCTTCCCAGTACGATGCCAGGCCGGGAGGTGCTTGGGTTCAGAAGAGTGTGGCCCGGCCACCTGTCCTGCTGGAGAGGGAGTCACCGCAGCCACAGGCAGTGTGGCCCATGCTCCTCTTTTCAGCAGCCTGCCTGGGAGTAGATATTCTGGAGCCTCTTGGCAGGTTATCCTCCCTCACCCTGTCACTGCCTTAACTTCCTCACTCCATTTCCTTCCATGTTTCAGATCATAAACTGTCATTATACATTCTAAAATGAAAATTTGTCCCATAAAAGCTCTTGCTGGAGCACAGTTTTCTGGAGCATTAGCTACTTATTAAAAGGACCAGGAGGTCTCATGTTTAAATAGATTAAAAAATTAGAAGAAAAATGAATAAAGAGTATGAACAAGAAATTTACAAAAGAAATCTACAAATGACTATGGAATAAATGAAAAGTTATTCAACCCTAATCAGAAAACACAAATGGAAACTACATGACACTATTATTTTTGCCCATCAGATTGGCAAAAGCATAAAAGTCTTGCTAATTTCCAATGTTGGCAAGCCTGTGGGAAACAGGGAAACTGTAGTTGGTGGGGATGTAAATTGATACATTTAAAGGAGAGTTTTGCAATAATAGAATTTTAAACGTGCAGTTCCACCTCTAGGAATCTGGCCCAAGTAAATAATTGCATCTAGGCACAAAGATATGAAAAGCTGGCATGATTGAATACTGGAACTCTATGCCAGGTCTTGCTCTCCACATTTTCCAGGTATTGACACATTTAATCCTTGCAACAGCCCTTTGAGGTAAATTGTGGTTAATGTCACCCCATTTTACAGTTAAGGCAACTATGGTTAATTAACTTGCTTAAGGTCACCAGCAAGGAATGATGGAGCCAAGCTTTAAATCCTTGGCCCCTTAGCCCAGCACACAAGGATGTTTGCTTCGTCCTTGCTTAACAGTGAGAACTTTGAAGGTTAAGTCAATTATGTTGATCCCTCCACACTACAAGATATAAAGATGCCCTGAACGAGAATGAGGGAGGCCCTCACAGGAAGATCTCCAAGTCATGGTAAACGAAAAAAGTAGATTAGAATTTCCGCCCATTTTATGTAAACACACAAGTCTGAGTGGGGGTGTAATTGGACAGAAAAAGATCTAGAAGGAAGGCAATCACATGTAGAAGGGGTGCTTTGAGAAAGGGGTGGAGAGGTACGACTGATGATGGGAGACTTTGTTTCATACTTTTTTTTTCTTTTTTACTCTATAATTGAAAATAAACTGAAAAAAAGAAAAGGACTTTTACTCTGTAGTTTGTTTTCTGGAGCAGCAGTAGTGGATAGGCGCACATTTCCAATTTAAGGTAAGGGCTTTTAAAATTGGGTTTGAGAGACACATAGACCAATGGAGCCAAATAGAGAGCCCAGAAATAAAGCCACACTTTTATGAACAACTAATCTTTGACAAAGGAGCAAAGAATATGCAATGGAACACGGACAGTTTGTTCAATAAATGGTGCTGTGAAAACTGGGACCTCCACATGCAAGAAGAATGAAACTAGACCACTACCTCTCACCATGCACAAAAATCAACTCAAAATGGATTGAAAAAACTGGACACAATACCTGAAACCATAAAATATGTAGAAGAAAATACAGGTAAAACACTACAAGACATATATCTCAGAAACATCTTTAAAGACTCATCACCCAAAGCAGTGATAGTGAATGCAAAGATAAACACCTGGGATTACATCAAACTGAAAAGCTTCTGCACAGCAAAAGAGACATTAACCAAAAACAGAGCGACACCCCAAAAACAGATTGGGAAAAAATCTTTGCACTCCATTCAACTGATAAGGGACTGATCACAAAGATAGACAAAGAACTCACACGGCTCAAAATAAATAAATAAATAAATAAATAAATAAATAAATAAATAAATAAACAAACAATCCGGTCAAGAAATGGGCAGAAGAACTTAAAAGACATTTCTCCAAAGAGGAAATGCAAATAGCCAACAGGCATATGAAAAAATGTTCAACATCCCTTATCATCAGGGAAATGCAAATCAAAACCACACTGATACCACCTTACACCAGTGAGAACAGCACATATCAAAAAAATAAGCAACAACAAATGTTGGCAAGGATGTGGTGAAAAAGGAATGCTCCTGCATTGCTGGTGGGAGTGCAGACTGGTCCTGCCACTGTGGAAAGCTCTCTGGAGGACCATGTGACCTGGCAATACCACTCTTAGGGAATCTACCCAAAGGATACAAAAACATTGATTCAAAAGAACACCTATGTTTATTGCAGCACTATTTACAATAGGTAAAACCTGGAAACAACCCAAATGCCCAAAAATAGATGACTGGATCAAGAAGATGTGGCATATATACACAGTGGAATATCATTCAGCAATCAAGAAAGATAAACTCATGCAGTTTGCAGCAACGTGGATGGAGCTAGAAGGAATGATGCTCAGTGAAATAAGCAAGAAGGAAAAAGAAAAATATCGGATGGTTTTGCTTATATCAGGAATGTAGGAGACCCAACTAAGACATCACTGTAAAAAAAAATAATAACAGTACAAAACACAACAAAGCAAAAACAGACAATTATAAATCAGAGACATCCTGTAGGGGAGGAGGAGGGAGAGGGATCAGAGGGAGGGAGGGAGGAGTACAGGACTGTGGTGATGGTGCATAGGTGCCTTAGGGAAGGAAATTTTATGGGGACTCAATCTGAGGGGCTGGAGGGAGGCAAATATTGTTTAAAAAAAAAGAAAATAGGGCCTCCCCGGTGGCGCAGCGGTTGAGCGCTGGGTTGCGAAGCTGCCCGCAGCCTCTGAGGCGCCGGTTCAATCCCCGGCTGCTCCCCGGCCACCAGAGGAGGGTCCCACATGGCGCGCGGACCTCTCCTGCCGCCCGCTGCTCCCCTCAGCAGTGTACTTCGGTCCTTCTGCCTGCTCTGCTCCCCGCTCTGGCTCTGGTGAATTCTCTCACCCTCCCGCGCTTCTGACTGTACCCAGTGCTTGTATAAATAAATAAATAAATCTTTTAAAAAAAAAAAAAAAAAAAAAGAAAGAAAATAAATAATAAATAATCCCATAAAATAAAATAAAAAATAAAATAATAAAATTAAATTGGGTTTGATGTTCTCCAGTACAGTAGACCAATCAGCACAACCTTTGTTTCTGCTGGGGTCAAGATTCTCAAAAAAGTTAAAAGGTGACCTGCAGTTTTGATTTAATAGAACTTTCTGCTAAAATGAATGTTTGGTTTTTTTTTTTTTTTTTTTTTTCAATTAAAGGTAAGAGTTTGGTGCTTCAATGTACTTTGAAAATTATTTGCCATAGTGTTTGGTAAGGGCAGGAACTACACCATTATATTTCATTGTATTTTCTGTGATGCACATAATATAAACCTTTAAGGATTTTTGAAAAAATCCAAGTTTTCAGTGCAAAAGCATAGATGATTTCTAACATTTAGACTGAAAAACTTTATAGTTGATTCTAGTTTGGGTTTTCTTCCCAGAAAAGGTACAAAATTATGTCTTCACCTCAAAAAGTTTATTTTACCACCTGCAATGCTATGTTTAAAATGTTAGTTATAGGGCCTCCCCGGTGGCGCAGCGGTTGACCGCTGGGTTGCGAAGCTGCCCGCAGCCTCTGCAGCACTGGTTCGATCCCCAGCTGCTCCCCGGCCACTGGAGGAGGGTCCCGCATGGCGCGCAGACCTCTCCTGCCGCCCGCTGCTCCCCTCAGCAGTGTACCTCGGTCCTTCTGCCTGCTCTGCTCCCCGCTCTGGCTCTGGTGAATTCTCTCACCCTCCCGTGCTTCTGACTGTACCCAGTGCTTGAATGAATGAATGAATGAATGAATGAATAAATAAATAATAAAATAAAATAAAATGTTAGTTGTAAATAAAGGCCAGTGTTTTGATAAGAATATCCCCCAGTAGGTGCCCTGTTGTCTCATGCTGAAGTGCTCCTCTACTCTAGCTGAATCCACGTTGTGTCAATGAAGTTTACACCAGCTTCAGGTTTTGGGCTAAGGCCAAAAAAGCAAGTAAGAGGAAGATTTTTGCCTTCTGGAAGCATCTGGTGAAATCAATAATGATAAACATAATAGCCATCTTAATATCATTCATTCATTATACGACCCCAAAGAACACAACCTAGAGTTGATAATGTGCCCAGTGTTGGGTAACTTTGTTTTGGTTTCAGAAAATGTAGCAAATGTCTAGCATAAAGGAGAGGGGAGAGTCTTCGTGAAAAATTCATATGAAGCATCAGCAAAGATAGGAAAGAGGTCCATTGTGTTTCATCATGACCCAAGCCTAGCTCTCAACAATAGGTGTTTTCGGTCCCACTGCTGATGTTTTTCTAGCCTTGCGACCAGCTTCTTTTTTCTAACAGGTAGACTCAGAGGTGCCATGGTACCAATTAATTTGACGTCTCTTTCATTGATCAGAATGGGGGGGGCATCTTTTTCTAAATATTAAGTAAGTTGATTTCTAACAGTTGCTATCCAAAATAAATCCATAAGACTCCCTACTTTTCAGAAACTACAGATGAAATAGAACAGTGGGAATCAGCATAAGGAAAAAAAACAATACTCCTCAGCTAGTAGCCACTTGCCAGATTCTGTTCACCAGCAGTATTTCCTGAATCCAGCCAAAGTGCTGAGCGTCGCCTCGGTCCCTGCAGGGCAGAAGTGGAGTGTGAGATGTGTCCCGGGCCACATAGGTGCTCACGCCAGTGTGGAGAGCAGAATGTTGGCTTTGGCTGAAGTAGGCCGCCTTCGCAGACGTGACTATTGCCATCAGTGATAGTTTTTCTTACTGTTTTGTTTTTTCCTTAAGGAAACCCACTTTGCACTTGCAACCTCCATCTGTGACCACTGGAATTTGGAAGTTAGTGCAGTTCACCAAAGACAGGTTCCGGGTCTCCGTCATCACCATTAGGTGTGAGACTGAGCAGAGCATCTCTTTTATAGGTTTATGGTGGCAGAAATGTGTTGATTTTCTTTTCATTTAAAGGATATCAGAATTGATGGCTTTAAACTAACTGAAAAATGCTGTGTCTTCAGTCTTACTCCTGGAGGGCAGGAACTGCTACTTCATTGCCTAGAGTTCCTTGAATGTGACATGAACTCAGCAGAGAAAACTTGGAAGGCTCACCTTAGGAGTTGTGATAACAGTAGAGATATTTGTGACACAGCGGACTGGGCACTGGCACAGGGGCTCAGCGGCGAGTCCCCTTCCGACATGAAGGTGCCAAGACGTGATCTAAATGTAGTGATTATTTTAACATGATACTTAACAGTTTCAAACTACCTTTACGTCTTAAAACAGAAGTTTTACTCAGTTTATTTCAAAGAAAGAACTATATGAACAGTATTTTTCTAATCTAGAATTACATTAACTGTGTCTACAACAGAGATTTTCAAACTAGTATGCACAAGAAAAAACAGAAGGAAATCATCTTAAATTCAGTTCCTGACGCCTCCCTTGGAGGTTCTGATGTGGTAGCTGTGGGGGGGGCCAGGAGCATTGTGGGGGGGCTTCCGGGGCTTACTTAGGGGCTCTATCCTCTAGATGTCCAGAAAATCATATCATGAGAAATATTCTTCCATAGAGCATATCAGTTTGATTCACTTAGCCAGTTTAGTTACGCTTACAGTTAGAGCTTAACAACACCAAACTTCTCCGTAGGTTTTGGTAAATGTGTATTCCTGTAAAACTGCCATCATCGTAACATCGTGAATTTATCTGTAGAATTTTCCTTTGGCCCTGTTCCTGTCCCTTCTTCTGACCTCTTCCCACCCCATCCTGGCCCACAACAGATCTGCTTTATGTCACATGTCAATTAGTTTCCCTTTTCTGGAATTTTATATGAATAAAGTCCTATAACATATGCTTTTGGGAAAGGCAGTCTGCCTTCTTTTCACGCAGCATAGTTATTTGGGAATTCACCTATGTGGCTATTATATGGGTAGTTTGCTCCTTGTGATCACTTTCCATGTGTGGATGAACGATTTGCACATTCTTTCACCTGTTTTTTATTTGTTTTTGCATAGAAGAACTGGGGTGTAGGCCAGAGGTGCGGGGGGTGAGAGGATTCACTAGAGACAGAGTGGGGAGCAGAACAGGCGGATCTACTGAAATACACTGCTGAGGGGAGCAGGAGGTGAATCAGGATAGGTTTGCTGCGCCATGCGGGTTAGCTCCCTGGCCGGGTATTGAACTCAGGCCTTCTCGGTGATAGGGCTGAGACTCAACCCCTAGGCCACCAGGGAGGCCTCCCATTCATCTGTTGATGGACAGCTGGGTTGTTTTCAGTATGGGGCTGTTGTAGGAAAGACTGCTATGAATGTTTGTTTACAAGTGTTTGGATACCTCCAGAACTAAATTTTAAGGTTTCATGCAACCTTTACTATTTTTTTTCTAATGTTCTTGTCGTAGAAAGTTATCGGGTGGTACAGATTCCGGCGAAACACACAACAGCAGATGTCGTACAGAGAGCAGGTTATCCACAAGCAGCTCACCCGCATCCTCGGGGTGCCTGACCTCGTTTTCCTTCTCTTCAGCTTCATCTCCACCGCCAACAATTCTACTCACGCTTTAGAATACGTTCTCTTTAGACCAAATCGAAGGTAAAGAAAGAGTTCCTTCCAGCCGCGCGTAAACAGGGAAAATGATACAGTTGAGATTCATGGCTTTGAGAAATGTGCATTTTATTGCATCTCTAAAGAAAACCTTTGATAAGTCTCTTTTAGCTAGGGTTTTTTGTTTCTTTTTGTAGTAAGAGAATATATTTTCCTTGTCAGTTAATTGTATAAATTAGAATTGTTTCTGAATCAAGATGCATTAGCAAGACATGTTAATTATGCCTAAAGCCTTACAGGAATAAGCAACTGGAAGTCATCATTTGCTTCTCCATAATCTTTTATGTAGAAATACAGTTTTATTGCTCTGGAATTGTGATTGTAATTTTGAAACATAGATTTCAAAGACAAAATTGTAAAATTGATCCACCTACTGGTTAATGAGGGTTTTGCACCATGAACATGTTAAAGCAGAAACAGTAAAAGATCTGATGGTCACGGTGCGTCTGTAAACGACGGAGAGGCTTCCCTCTAGAAATTCACTTGTGGAAGAAATTAATTTGACATCAGGAGAATAAATGATTGTTAAATAGCCATTTTCAAGACTGTTAATTTATCAGTAGGTATTTCTTACAACCTCCTCAGCACTTAGTCTCTGTGGGCATGTGAAGTTGCGTGAGCCATGACCTTTGCACTCAGTCGAGTTGGCTGCTTCCTGCATCCTTGGGTTATTGCGGAAGGGGCTCCCTGGGACATGCTGTTAGTTCATCTGTGTGGGGAGGAGACCCCTGTCGCCTAGGCCCGTTCCCCAGGAGAGCAATGCGTTGAGCCTGTTGAGCCTGAGCCGGGTCACTGTCGCCTGCAGGTATAATCAGAGGCTCTCCCTCACTATTCCCAACCTGGGCAACACCAGCCAGCAAGAGTATAAAGTGTCTTCAGTGCCAAATACGTCTCAGAGCTATGCCAAAGTTATTAAAGAACACGGGTAAGTTGAAAAGTAACGTGAATGGTTTGTCTTCCTTTGTCAACAATATTTCTTTTGTTAACAATATTTAAAAGATCTCTGGAGAAATATGAAATCAAGTTTGCTATGATTGGAAAATGAGATAGTCTCTAGACCACCACCTCTGTAATATCAACATTTTATTCTTATTAGAAAGGGAGTTTACTTTCACCAATACTGCTTTTTGTCATCATTTGCCACAACTTATTCCTTTATTTTTGCCATTGATGCAAAGGTTGCGATAGAGTGCGTGTGTTTTTGAGTCTAATGACGTGGTCACTGCAGAATGTACACGTGGACGTTGTCTGTTCATTTGTGTCATCCACTAGTGGACGTCACCTTGGAGTTGAGCATTTAAGTCACAAGACAATGCTTTTTGGGTTCTAAGCCAATATAATAACTTGGTGACTTTTTTTTCTGTCTTCTAGTACTGACTTTTTTGATAAGGATGGAGTCATGAAAGACATCAGGGCAATTTATCAGGTTTATAACGCGCTGCAGGAGAAAGTGCAGGTAACTGATTTATTTACAAGTTTGCATTATTTCTATTACCCAAATTCTTTTAATTCTGCTTTGATACTCTCCCATCTAACGAAGCACTTGTGATCCAAATGCCAGAATGAACTTTCCTAAAATAATGTCAGCTGTGCAGCGAGCCACCTCCTGCCAGCCTACCCAACCCTGCTCCTGCCCGACAGGACTCACAGCGCAGACCCTGTGTCACTGTTTAACACCCACATCCCGTGTCTGCCAGTGTTTTTCTCTGTGGAGACGTAGCCGAGAGTCAAGGAGGGTTGCACAGCTGGAGTCTCCAGCCCTTACGGTCTGTGTTGCAGCCGCATTGGAAGCCACCGTTGCTGCGCACAGTTCGGCACACTGGTTCTCTCTCCTTCGCTCGCTCTGCCCCAGCCGCCTCTGTCTAGTGGGAGGAGAGCGCGGAGCCTGCTCCTGCCTAGTCATCCATGCAACAAATATTTATGGAAACAGCTCCTACGAGCCAGATCCCGAGCTAGGTGCTGACAATACTTTCCCACGTTCTTTTCATCATCCCCAGGGTGTTCTTAAGAGTAATTTGCTCTAAAGCCCTGAGAACAAAAAAGCCTTTGAGGACAAGAAGGAAAGTGGCCAGGCTGAGGAAGCCTCCCCAGCCGCAGGCCTGGCTTTCAGGAGGAAGACCCCGAGGAGAGAGAGGCACGAGGCAGCTGCTGAACACGGGGAGCAGCCCGAGTGTAGCCAGGAACCCCCTCCCCGGGAAGCAGCTCCTGGGCAGGGTCCCGGGCCATAGCTTCCCCTCGCTCACGGCACCCAGCAGGACAGGGGCTTGATCCCACTCACCCAGGAGCAGCCGGCTTCCCTGCATCTGCTCTTTCCACTGCGGCAGGAACATGCAGTGAAAAAAAGCTTTTTGTCCTGAATTCATAATTTTTCGGACTCTGAGCACTGCCTCGCGGTCGCGCTGACCAGGCAGCTCCTTAGCCCCAGGGTCCGCAGCGCTGACTGCAGGGCGCATGCGATGGGGCTGACTGCATCTTGTCTTTGAGACCCCTTTCCTTTGTTGTATACCATGTAATGGGGAAATTCCAGAAAAAAATACTTAAATATTTCAGGTTTGTTGTTTTGTTTTAATTGAGGTAACATTAGTTTACAGCGCTGTCCAGGCTCCAGGACTACATGTTCTCTCCACGTCACCACCAGATGTCCAGTCGCCGTTCACCACACGCCGGTCAACCCCCTCCTAGACCTCCCCCTCCCTCCTCTCTGGTTACCACCAGTCTGTTGTCAGAGTCTAAGGGTTTAATTTTGCTTTTTTTATAGTCCATAGATGAGGAAAATCATACAATCTTTGTCTTTCTCCCATGACTTACTTCATTTAGTGTAATCCTGTCAAAGGTCCATCTGTGCCTCAAGTGGCAACATTTCATCTTTGCTGTGGCCGAGTAGTATTCCGTTGTGTACCTACACATCCTCATCCATCCATCCAGCGCTGTGCAACTTACTTTCTTTTTCAACTTTGCTAATTACAAATATTTTCTCTTAGACAAATCTCTTAGTGTCATCTAATTTTTGATTGTTGATGATAAATCCAGCAATGAAAGCATCTCATTCCTGTCTGGTTTTTGTTCCTTTGTATGTTAGACTGGTATCAAAAATTCCCTCTTCCTTTCAGTAAAAATGAATACCAGGAAAAAGACTTTAAATCTTTCCAAGCTTACCCTTATTTGTCAAGAATTTATAAGCTAAACGGCATAATCATTTTAGCAAAGAGTAAAGCAGTAACTAACACGTAATACTTGTTCCTCAGACCTTTACGATTTCGTTTTACCTTCTGTGTCTGCTTTCCAACCCCACTAAGGGTTGTGTTCTCCTGGGCTGTATCAATGCTGTCTTTATGAAATGCCTCCTACTTGGATTTGAAATGAATTGTTCTTATTGTCATTTTCCCCTCAGGCAGTGTGTGTGGATGTAGAAAAGAGTGAGCGAGTTGTTGAATCCTGTCAGGCAGAAGTGAACAAATTAAGAAGACAAATCACTCAGAGGAAAAATGAAAAGGAACAAGAAAGAAGTAAGTTCCCTATTAATTCCACTGTTCAGTATCAGGGAAATGTCTGGCTTTAAACACCAGATTATATCACGAAGGATCTGATTCTGCCTACACTCATCAGGCCCCAAGTTAAACTTTTGGGGAGGGGGCATTCCCAGTGGCGAAGCCGCTCTAGCAGGGAGGCGCTAGTCTCATCCTGCTTGAGTCACTGGACGTGGAAGTGAGAGCAGACCCAGAGGGACAGGCCGAAGGACGCACAGGCAGGTACAGCTCTCTGGCCGGGGATGGAACCCAGGCTGCAGTGGTGATAGCCTGAGACTTAACCCCTGGGCCACCAGGGAGGACCCAACATTTTCTATTTTAATAAGGATGTTTGCCCACCAGTTAAAATCCAAGTTATATTCCAGGTAAGAGAAATCTGGTTCATTTCTGCTATTATATTTTTCTAAAAATAATCAGAAAAGCAAGCAGGGGTTTGTGCACAAGAAGGCTAATGGCAGCCTTATCGAATCTTGGCAGCAGCCTGTTAGAGCGGCAGAGTCAGCCGCAGCGGAGCGTGAGACCAGGGCGCGTCTTTCAGGCGTTGGGCAGCCTTCAAAGTGAGTGTGTACGGCTTAGACTGCCTGGCGGGGGCCTCAGTGAAAGTACTAGGACATAAATAAGAGGATAGAGGTGGGGTCTCAGCTACGTTTAAAGCACACGTGCGTGCACACGACAGCTGGGTAATGAAACGAGTTCAGGCAAGACGTTGGGAGCTGACCCTTAAAATGTGTGTTTTTAACCCAAGTCTTATGCTCCTTTTACCAAAATTCTGACAGTAGGGCCTGGGTGACAGAACTGTGGGCGATTTTTATTTTCTTGGTTCTTGCTTAAATTTTATATGATGTGTCTTTTTTTTTTTTAATATTTATTCATGCATACAAGAACCAGGGTATAGGCCAGATGTGCGCGGGAGGGTGAGAGGATGCACCAGAGACAGAGCAGGGAACAGAACAAGCAGACTGACTGAAATGTACTGCTGAGAGGAGCAGCAGGCGAGACAGGAGAGGTCTGCCACGCCGTGTGGGATTCTCGCTGGCCGGCCGGGATGGAACCCATGCTGCAGAGGCTGCGGACAGCTTCCCAGCACGGCACTCAACTGCCTGCGCCACAAGGGGAGGCCCATGTGTCATTTTTTATAGTTTAAAAATGGCAAGCCTATTTAAGATAACGCACACATAGTTGTGGGGCTGTGCTCGAGCGTTCAGAACATACAGCAAAGTCATGCTCAGGCCTGGAAACTGAGCGCCTAACACTTGGAAGGGGAAGGAGGCACAGCAGTGTAGTGTGAAGGCGGTTGTAGAGAAACCTTTTTTGGTGTTAAGCCTGTCTAGCATAACTGTGAGTCACCCTTCCAGTGACTGTGAGGGGTGCTAAGGACTGTTTGTCTCCTTCTGTCCCCAGGACAGGACAGCCACGAGGGGTAAACAGCTCAGGGTTTAGAGCTGAAAGACCTGCATTTTGAGTCTCTGCCTGTTCTTGTGGTCAAGTGACTTAACGTTTCTGATCTCTGGTTTCTTTGCTGACATGACAGACACGGCACTATTAGTAAGGATGGCAACAATGCTTCAGAAGGTTGCTCAGTTTCATGGCCTGACTTCCAGAACATTCAGGCTGACCATTTAATGCATTGAGATGCCAAGCTGTCAACATGTCAAAAGTGTTACCGTTTTCTTCCTGTTTTCCCTCAGGGTTGCAGCAGGTGATGGCAAGCAGACAGATGCCTTCGGAAAGCCTGGACTCGGCGTGCAGTCCCTGCACGCCCTACTCCAGCTTTGCTGCCGAAGGTCGAAGTACACTGGGAGAAGCAGAGGCCTGTGATCCTCCTCCTCCTTACTCCGATTTTCACCCAAACAATCAAGAAAGTACTGTGAGCCATTCTCGCGTGGAGACTAGCGTCTTTATGCCTCGACCTCAAGCCGTGGGCTCTTCCAACTACGCTTCCACCAGTGCCGGACTCAAGTATCGTGGGAGTGCAGCGGACCGCCCTCCTTCCCAGAGAGCAGCGGGAGACAGTGTGGAGGAGTCAGACGACAGTGATTATGAAAATTTGATTGACCCCACAGAGCCCTCGGAAAGCGACTACTCACAATCGCGGGATTCCCGCCCCGTGTCACATCCTGACGGGGGCTCCAGGAACACTCAGACCTCCCAGATTTAACGGAACGACAGAAACTCTCCACTCTGAGCTGTTTTTCTTAATCACTCACTAAGAGAGTTTTTTGAGGACTTACTCTGAGGAGAGAACCGCTTTCTCGGACACCTGGACTCCCAGGAGGAGCGCCCTGGGGCTCAGCACTGCAAGGAGCCTCTTGCCCATGGGTCTCCACCCTTGGACGGTGGTCAGGTTTCACGAGAAAATCATTAAGATAATCAAATTGTCCTAATTCTGGTGCGATTCATGGGTGTACTGGTCAACTTAGGCAAAGTGAAACTTATCAATGTAGTTTCTGTTCTTTAAATAAATTGGAAATTAGAGACTAAGCACAATTAGTCTATAATGTTCTATAAATCAAAACCTTACCTCTTGCACTATCATGCCTTGAAATTTACTTTTTCAAAGGGAAACTAGTCTAGCTGCAGCCTTCAAAGAACCTTCTTTCTATGATGAACCAAATTCATCTTTGCCAGAAAAGAAATTTTGATAATTCCACAAAGCCTGATTGGAACAAATCCCACCCACCATCCTGTCTGCATGACTTTGTGAGGTCGAAAGAGAGGGCTTCGTTTCAACTGTTTTCTACTAGCCCGATACGTATTGTCCCTTGAAATGGTTGCCTTTAAAAAAAGTGGTCGAAATACTTATTACCAGTAAGTCATCATCCAAATAATTATGTCATAAAATAAATTAATTATTTTTCTTTGGGGGAATTACAGTGACTGGGATGCTGCACTGGCCACATTTGTGGTCTCTGTTCTGGAATCTTCAGTGAGGACACACAGCAGTGATGACAGAAGGGAGTTATGTTCCAGACCCAAGTTGTACGATGAGCAAATGCCAGACGTGGTGGACTTAGCCGAGTTCATACGTAAAGGATATAACTCATTTAGATCTTCTGACAAATCCTAGTGTTAATTTTATTTGTGGAGGAAAGACATTTATTAAACTGTTTGGGAATCTTGGCGAATAAAGATTATTTCAAATCTGAACACCCATACTTTTCTTTAAGTTGCCATTTGAAGAATAATTGTGGATTGTCTTGAGATTTTCATTGGGGGTGCACTTGTATTTTTATTTAATGACCGCCTGTTTCCTAGCGTTGCCCAAAATGTGTGAAAGCGCTGAAGACAGTCGCGAGCACATGAGCTCCCGGCTTGCCCAGACGCAATGTTTTTGACGCTGTCAGCCCTCGAAGCGAAAGCTTTGGGATGTAACTGCCCTTGCTTTGGACTAGTTCAGACCTGTAAGAATAAAGAAATTGTTAGTTGTTCAGAGGCTTGGTAGCTTGGTCTTATAGGAGTTTGCTCACTGAATGCCAGTTCCAATATAAAACTAGAGGCGTGACGTGGTCTGAACGATGAAACGCAAACACTGCCGTTCTTCAGACAGCGTGGGTCTGCGTCTCCCTGGGCGTCTGGGTTTCGTTGGCCTCACCACTGCCCTTTGATTGGAATGTCGCAGACCACTTTATCTGCTCACGTGTTCCAGTCTTGACCAGCCACCTACGAGTGGCTTCAGCACCCGTGTGGATTTAATTTTTTTTTTTTTTTTGAAGTGCCATCACCATCTCCTCTGTTCAGATGTTGACATTCAGGAAAATATTTTTTATTTTTATGCCGTACTGAAATCTACAATGTATCTGACAAAGCAGTTAAATGTGACAATAAAATTGTATTTAATCATGGTACCATTGTTTCAATGTCTCTCTCACCAGGTCTTGCCTCAGTTTACTTATTCTGGCCATGCTTAGTAGAATGAGTACAGTGTTTTTCAAGGACATTAAAACTCATCTCCATGCAGATTTTTCTTGTTATGTTGGTTTCAGAGGAAATCCAGGAGCACAATTTAGTAAAATGTTTCTGTTGGTTTCAAGAAGGTGTGGAGAATCCAGTTTCCGTGAGAACTGAGGGTCAACTGAGTAGAAAATTGAATCTTAGAAAGCCCCCGGGAAGAACCTTCCACAGAAGAACTGGGCTGAAGAGATGCCTCGGCCTGGATCACCCGCCCAGTGGCACAGCTCACAGTGTTCTGGTCTCAGGAATCACCACCCCGCTCCACCCCGCCCCAACAGGCATGTGCTCTGGGTTCCGTGGGAGCTGTTCCAGTTGAGGGGTGTCTCTTCCCAAGTCTCAGGTGACACTCTGTTTTCAGCAAGACTTTAAAATATGGATTGTAGCCTTCTAGGATTCTACGCTGCGTCTTCTCCAGAGAAAAGAAGACTGGATTCTTTTTACTTCCGTAGAAGTCTGGAAATGCTGAATTACATGTTGTAATTGGCTTTTCTGGAGAAAGATCAAAAACACAAAAAGAGATACCTCATCCCCCAAACATCCAGACCCTCAGGATATATCTTTAACTTCGAGACAGTAGCTCAGTGACAACTGCTTTAATAAAATCATTTACATGGACTGCCTGGGAATCCTGTTTTAAAGAGGTTAAAAAGAAAGAACCGAGAGGACTGTAAAACTAAATAGAAATAAGGGCTGTGACTGGTCTGGGTCTTCACTGCGGGTTTCATCTTCCCTCTTTCACTCGGTTCTGTTTCGTCCTTTGCCACAGGAAGCCTCCCTGCTAGAAAAGGAGCTGCAAAGCAACCAGTTCTGCCAATGTGGTGCTAATAAATAATGGAAAATGTTTACTTTTCATATATTATGACAAAGAGATTTGGGAAAAGTTATGGAATTTAACTTACCTTTCTTTTCGGACTGAATTCTGTAATGTCCTAAATAAGGCGGGAGAGTCAGGACATAAGCGTGCATCCTTAGTGGGCTATTTAGGGTTCCTCTGACCCCTGGAGATGGGGGGCAGTCCCCTTCTAACAAGACCTTGGAACATCGACAAGAAGACGCCCCCTGAGTGCCAGATATTATACATGCCCAGAATGTAGTACTTAGAAGTGGCCGTTTGCTCGTGGAAAGACAACAAAAGGGAGTTCATTGTGACATTTAAAAAAAAAAAATCTAGAAAAGGACCCTAATAATAGTGGGATGGCTAAAAGTTGGTGCCCCCACAAAAGAAACAGTCGGCAGTTACTAAAATGATCGAGGTACACATCAAAAATTTCGTGATACGGAAAGCCAGTTTCCAGATAGCAAATGAAGAAAACTGGTTTCCAGCGTGTAAGTTCTGGTCTGATTTGTGTGGGGACAAGGCTCCATGGGATGCTGTTGGCAGGAAGCAGGATGATCGTTCACCTGAGTGCCAGCAGTGTTGTCTCTGAGTGGTAGCAAAACAGGTGATTCCCCCCACACCCCATTTTTTCTGTTTTGCGTCTTCTAATTTTTCTGCAGTGAGCGTATAATAAAAGACTTTAGAAACGGTGTGTCATTGGCCACGTGAATCATTTCCTGCACTCTACTCTGGAGGGAACATTCTTTTTTTTTTTTTTTTAGATTTTTTTTTAATAGAGGCATGTTTTTATTTATTTATTTGTTTTTTGTTTTGTTTTGTTTTGTTTATGCATGCACTGGGTACAGTCAGAAGCGCGGGAGGGTGAGAGAACTCACCAGAGCCAGAGCGGGAAGCAGAGCAGGCAGAAGGACCGAAGTACACTGCTGAGGGGAGCAGCGGGCGGCAGGAGAGGTCTGCGCGCCATGTGGGACCCTCCTCCGGTAGCCGGGGAGCAGCCAGGGATCGAACCAGCGCCACAGAGGCTGCGGGCAGCTTCACAACCCAGCGCTCAACCGCTGCGCCACCTGGGAGGCCCTGGAGGGAACATTCTTGATTCTCTGTCTCTTCCCCCCTCTCCTCAGGTTTTTAGATGTGTGGCCAATATAAGATCAGCCCTATGGAGGCCACTTGCTTCCCTACAGTCAACTTTTATCGTAGTTCCAGGTGAATTTGTCTATTTACATTGTGTTTTGCATCGACACTAATTTTTCTCCTAATTAATATAGAGCCAATTCACTTTTCTTAGTTCAGGAGCCACTTCCTAAATTCCCAAGAAGCACTTAGATGTCTTCAGAGGCTGAAAGCAATCCCAAACTGCAGCAATTATTTTTGATGGTTCTCTCAGGCCAAAAGTGCTCTGGACAAAAAGGGTTTGGGGAGCCTGAAAATGGAAGAACGATTTCCTTGATCTTGCAATTAATTCTCCTTGTGAGATTCAGGAGTACTGCTTGCTGTTAGACTTTATTGTGGTGTCCTTCCTGCTCAGACAGAATGAAGCGTTAGGAGTGTAGACCCATATAAGCTCAAGCCACATACAAACAAGTCTGGGAGATGTTTGATTCCAAAGCAAACATGACTGCTTGGGACATCTGCTATGACCAGCTAATTGAGGGCACTGCTTGATCGAGCTGGGAGCCTTTTGTCATTCCCCTTAACCAATTGGAAAAAGAAGTGGTTCAATCATACTAAAATGTGGATCAACCAAAAATATCTTGAGAACAGTGTCTGGATATGGGTATATGGGAGGAATTCAAGGGCAATAAGTTACCCTAGAAACCATAGGTCCAGGGTAGTTCCCCGCACAGTGCATGGGAAGTTAAGAGATGGATTTTCTGCAACTTCAGTCCTTAAAAAGCCCTGCTCTTTAAGGCCCAGCTCAAACTTCCACACTACAGCTATAAATTCTTATAAGAAAGTAGGGGGGAATCTGCATGACTTTGGATTTGGCAATGGTTTCTTTAAAATGAAACCAAAACCATAGACAATGAAAGAAAAAAATAATAAATAGGACTTCATTAAGATTAAAAAATTCAGGGCATCCAAGAACACTAGCAAGCAAGTGCAAAGATAACCCACAGAATGGGATAAGATACTGACAAGCTAACTAGTTAGCTAGCCAACTAGCCAACTGATTAGTTGACTAGTTAACTAGTTAATTAGCTGACTAGCAAACTAGCTGGCTAACTAGCTAGCTAACAAGAACCTGTCAGGTGATCCAGGTTGGTGAGTCACAGACCTAAGGTTGAAATATTTACCCTACAATATGGTTCATTTGCATTAGAACATGCATCTCGGCAGCTGGGGCCCTGTGCGCCCTGGAAGATTTCTCCAGTGATATAGTGTGTTAATGACAGAAACCTTTCTGACGGTAGCCGACTAGCTAGTTGTCTATGGAACTAGCTGACTAGTCACTCTGAGAGTGTTTCAGGGATGAGTGTTCTTACCCACTTGCTAATCTGAAAGGGGTGTGGAATTGGGTGAAGTTCCCGGGCCAGTCACAGGGCAGTGCACACATGGACTAGCAAGTGGTAAGTCTTTAGACCTAAGTCCCAGCTGACAACAACTTCCCTGGGGCAAGTTAAACGAGGTCTGTGGGAATGAGAGAAACCAGACTGGGGCATTCTGGGAGATAACCGGCCTAGTTTCTTCCGAAAAGTCAGGATCTTGGGAAAAAAACGCAAGGGGAGGGCCTCTCTGACCAACAGGTGCTAGAGACTCCACAGCCTGCACTGGTTTTGACTTTGAAAAGTCTGCATTTGGGGAAATTTGAAAAGCAATGGGGCCGGAGGCTACCAGGAAACCGTTTTGTAAGTTTTCTTAGGCACCATGATGGTAGATGGTTGTGTGAGAGAATCTCCTGCGTTTCAGGAAATACAGGTGGCATTTTAGGAGTGAAGAGTCCCCAGGTCTGCCCCTCACATTCCAAGAGCCCAAAACACGGCTGTGTGGACAGTGACAGAGTGACTGACATGAGCAAGCCCTGAGCTGGGGAGACGGTGCATGAGAGCTCCTCGTATGACTCTGTCTCCTCATCTGGTTGGTTGAACATTTGCAGGATAAAAAGTTGGGGGGTGGTAAAAGGAAAAAAAAACCAGGACTGATAATTCCTATTTTATGACGCCACAGGCAAGTTGACATTAAAAATATTCAATGACGGTCTATTAGCATAGAAAGAATAAAATTAGTAGATTTTCTTTTATTCTTGAAATCACCTAAAATATATACAAATATATCAAGATATTTCACAAACATGTAAGGGATGTAGATGGTAGGGTTACTTATTCATCACCTTATTCTAATCATTTTCAAATTACCTCTTGGTGTTTAGACGTTGCCGCGGGATCTTCCATTTGTCACCTGCTAAACGGCGCCCCTGTCCGGACCGTGATCTGACTTAGGAATTGCATCTACAGAGCTAAATGTATTATCTAAGCAGCAGGCAGAGGACAAAGGGGTGTGGAATTGGGTGTAGGTCCCGGGCCGGTCACAGGGCAGTGCACACGTGGAGAAGCACCAGGAGGCTCTTCTTCAGATCATGGGGTTTGGGGTTTCTCTGGGTGGGTGCCTGCCCTCTGGGAAGCCGCCTCCTCTGTGATTTTTGGCTGCTCCTCAGTGGCCTCTCAGCTTTAAGGTCCTTCATCTCTGTGCATGCTTAGGTAGTCCTGTCTGAAGATGCGTCCAGATTCCACCACGCCAAAGCAATTCTCCAAGGGAATAGCTCTGATGAGTTTTGAGCAACCCCAGGAAGCCGGGGTCAACCTGACTCAATTTCCAACTGCCACCTGCAGTGCCCAGAAGGGATCCCACAAACCTTCCTGCCCCCGTCCCTCTGTCCTCCGGGTATTTAGGTGAATGCTATGCTAGCTCGTGTCTCTCCAGCCCGACACCCAGACCAGATTCCCTTCCCAAGGAGAGATATGGAAAACCACCCACTCAGCCAGGCAGCCGGCCTATCAGAGGGCTTTCTCCGCGCCCCCTTTCCACCTGAGGTCAGGTAGGAGCCTCTGAAGCCTCTTAGGACAGGCAAAAGCTCTGTGGTCTGCGGTCAGACAGCACAGGACCTCCCGTTCCCCTTCCCTGTGGCTTGGGGGCTGGCAGCCCCACCCTCGTCCTCCTGTGACAGCACCACACGCGAGCTCCCCTCTGCTGGGGCGGCTCCCTGGGCACCGCAGGCACACACAGCCCCCGTGCAGATCCGAGCTCCCGCCACCCCACTCACTAGTGTCCTACTAGTGCCTTCAGCACTAAATTCCCATGGGACCTGCAACATTTAGAAAGAGGGCGTGAGTTTCCTGCAGACAAACCACTAATAAGGGTGACCGGCTCATCCTGGTTTGCCAGGGGCTTTGCAGTTTTAGCAATGAAATCCCCACACCTGGACTCCTCAAGGTCACTCTGCCATAAATCAAAATTGAAGCCAAGGATCGGCTGGCATTTAACATGGCATTTAAGGGATGACGATTTTGTGGGACCCCCCCCAAGCCTGCTGTAATGGTCTGCTCTACCTGGGAACACTGGCAAAGCCTGGTAGCATCCTGGGCCAGTTGGATCTGGTAGAACTGTACACGACTGTGTTCCCTCATGGGATGTGCAGACACATGAGCACACCTAAACGAACAGTGACTTTGGGTTAAAGAAAAGCCAAAGGTGGGGCCTCCCTGGTGGCGCTAGAGGTTAAGACGCAGCCTATGAAGCTAACCGTAGCCACTGCAGCACGAGTTCAATCCCTGGCCAGGGAGCTACCCACATGGCGCAGCAGACCTCTCCTGTCTCCCTGTTGCTCCCCTCAGCAGTGTGTTTCCATAGATCTGCCTGTTCTGCTCCCCGCTCTGTCTCCGGTGAATCCTCTCAACCCCCACACCTCTGGCCTGTAACCCCGAGAAAGAAAGAAGGAAGGAACACTGTCTGCGGTGATGAAGACCCCCATCACCTCAGGGCCCACTGGCCTCCTCCCCCAGACTTTGGAAGCGCTGAGCCCTTACAGCAGCGCCAAGACATGGCCTTTGGGATCCGAACCACCAGGAACTTGACTTCCTTAAGAGTGCGCCCTGGGGCGGGCTCCTTGACCTTTCTGAGCCTTCTCTGTAGGAGCGGATGGGCAGGAATATCTCTTTCCTGGGGCTGTGGGGAGGCTGGTGTGAGACGCAGTAGGTGAAGACCTGAAGAGCAAACCCAGAGAGCTCGCGCTGCGTGGTCTGGAAGGACGTCCCCCGCCGACACGCAGCTTGGAGACGGGATCCGCAAGAAGTGCGGCTGGAGGCCTTTCCTCGGATGGGGCCACGGAGGGCCAGGAAGCGTCTCGGGCTCAGGTCAGCTCTTGCTCATTTTATCTGTTTGCAACAATGTGCTTCTTCTGCACCGCCCTGGCAGCACAGGCGCACGTGAAACACAGGCTAGCCTGGCCAAGAACGGCACTGCTGACTTGGCTCAACTGTAACTAATTTGGACCTTGCTTTAAATAGTCACATGCCACATGGCCAGTAGCTCCCATACTGGACAGCACGGGACGCTGACCCCTGTGTCTCAGGACCAGGGCCTCCACCGAGGCTCCGGCTCACAGGCTCAGAGCCTGCCCTCCCGCCTGCCCTTTGAGCTGCCCTTGCTCCACACCTTGGCGGCCACAGAGAGTGTGCGAGCACAGAGGCCTCAGGTGCATTTGTCCCAGATTGGAGTAAA